TTATGGTAACCTGGCCCAGAAAATACACAATAACTCCCACAACTCGGTAGGTTACCATTATCATTATTGATCCATCCCAAATAAATTGCGAAAACGAAGTTTTTTTTAATTTAACGTTATTTGAGTTAGCAAGTTCTTGTTTTGAATCCCTGATGAATTTCCTCCTTAATCCTAAGTGCCGTAAGCGTTGTTATGTAAAATTTATGCTAAAGCATTTGGAGTACGTACTAAACAGGACCGAATACGCTTAATTTTAATTAGAATGTTTGCTAACATGTGTATATTTTACGATATAAAATAATAATTACATCATTGAGATTTACTCTTTTCCTATTAATTGATATAAAAACATTTCCTTGCAATAATTTAGTGTATTCACTGAAAACAAAGATCTAATTGAGAAGCAAACGCTCAATTTGCGAAAACAATAGTTTAGAAACCGCTCGGAAACGGCAGATATTCTGGATTTTAGTTACTGGGGCAACGTGTAATTAGCTTTTGCGAGGTGATTTCGCGTGTCTCACCCCGTGGAAAATTAGTTGAACGTTAACCTCTCGGAAAATTGCAATTCGAAATGCGAACAATTCTTGAAACTGAATAAACCATTCGTCAAAGACAGATTTGAAATTAAAGAAAACAACTTTGTTGGAATAACTTGATAAAGTGTATACTTGCGATTGGAAAATTTTTATACGAATAAAAAGTTGGAGATGGAAACTTTTTACCTTAGGTATAAAAGAAATTGAGTAATCAGAAATTTCTCGGGAAAAATGATATTTAAAAATAACCTAAAAAATAAAAATGAATTATAAAAGTAATGAGTTAATTTCCGAGATGAGAATCAAAAATATTGCAATAAAATCGATTTTTCCCGTTTCTAAGCATTAGGGGAAAACTCGTAACGATAAAGACGCGACAACGATCTTTAAAGGATGTTTACTTGGGAATTTGTTACACCATCACAACAAGGACGCTTTAAAATTGATTATAAACTCTCCTGTAATAGGGAGAATTTGCGATTCACAACCACTCTGGGAGAATCGTAAAATTGTTTATTACGTTTATTTATTCGCCAGTACAAATTTAATTTAATGTGTATTTTAATGAAAACTGAATTAAAAAAGTATTGGTAAATTAAAATTGATACTTTAAAGTTTAATTAAAACCATCGATGAAAAACTGAAAGAAACTGAAAACTTATAAACAATAAAAAAAATGTCTTCTATGATATTGTCATCTAAAGATGGATAGTTCTTATTCCTAGTAAATATTAACAAATTGTTAATAACAAAATGTCCATTAAAACTTTAATTGAAATTTGGTATTGAATTTTACAGTTCCCTTTAAAAAAATTAAAAGATACTTTGTGCGGTCTTTCCAAGGCCCTATAAATGAATTGATTTAGGTTGTGTACACATTAAACCATATTTTAGATTTAGACTAGACATTTTACTATGAATATAAAGTATTATGCATAAAAGTTGAAAAATTTCACTATCTTCCTGAATTCTTATGATCAACACAATAATGTTCTACATGTTAAGTTCTAACTTCTTTGCTATCCTCTTTAGAAGAAGAAAAAGATTTAGTAAATCCTTAGTTCTATTGCGGTCCACAATCTCTGCTCACAATTAATTTTTTTCACATCAAAGAAAACATCATAAAATATAAATTTTATATTAAAAATTAGAATCGATCCGATGGAATAGAACTTGGTAAAGTAAATTCGTCTATTTTTTTCTTTTTAAGTTTGAAATCTTGTTATCTAATAAAATTAATTATATAACTTTTGCAAAATTAAATACTCCATTAGTAATATTAAGGTTTCCAACCGAGTTGTAGGGCGGTTACTAAAGTTTGACCATCGAAGTTTCCGTCCATTCGCGGAGATCCCAACACCAATTAAATGGTCGATCGAAATTTCTCCCAAATGTTACATATAATCCTAAACTACAGTTTGCTTTAGCTAGTTTATAAACTTTATTGAACATAAATAACTAATAAATCAATACTTGAATATAAATTTAAATATATTCATTCAAAATCGAATAATTAATTTTTAATCATAAACTTTGAATCGCAAATTATGTCCTGCTAATTTTCAATCTATCACTATCTCTGTCTACTTCAAATACCCCTTTACGGTTACTTAATCTATCTAATTACGCGGTGTATGATTAGAACCTCGGTTCGGGTATGTCAACCGTCAAATTGTATTAACGTTTCCAACCAAATTCCCATACAGCAGCTGATCGTTATTGGAATTTTGCACTATTGCCCTTCGATTTTCAGATCGAAAAAGTTTTACGGTTAAAGATGGAGCATAAATTTTTTTACGGCTTCTTTTACGGTCAAAGAACGGAAATTGTTTTTTTTTCTTTTTAACTCTTTTTCGTCGTTAATATTTTTATGTACTATTACAGCCGAAAAGGATTTTTCTTTTAATTTTTTTAACTTCAATACTATTTTTTTAAACGAATAAAACTTTCCTAAATGGGAGTCGCGTGGAGTTTTCCCATATTTCATGATCTCGTAGACATCTAAAAGGGAAAAAGATAAATAGTTAAAGAACATTTAATTTATTTATTTTTGTAACTTGAAACGGAAGCGTTTAAATAAGAACAACTTTTTATTTACTTTCACTTAAAACTTGTTTCGCAAGAACATCAATATCAAAATATCAATACAGTAAAACCTCGATATAACGGATCTCGTTAGAACAGAATTCGGATATAACGAACAAAATATATTTAAGTCATACTATTAATATTATATATTTAACATATCTGGATATTTAAATATAAATGTTAGCGATCATCCAACTCGGGGTATTCCCCGAGTTGTCTATATGATGTACAAATCATCTTATATATTTATGATATGTATGTTAAATTGAAGCTTAACGATTCTAGTTTATGATGTGATATAAAAATTATAAGATAATATTATTGAAATTCCCAGGAAAAAAATATTAAAGAACAGATTGTCAAATTTATAAACAAAAATAACGAAATTTTCAAATAATCATATCGTCTGTATATTTAAGAATTTTGATGTGATATGCATGTTAAATTGTAGCTTAATGATTCTAGTTTACGATATGATATAAAAATTATAAAATAATATTATTGAAATTCCCTGCAAAAAGTTATTAAAGAAGAAATTGTTAAATTTATAAATCAAAAATATTATGAAATTTTCAAGAAATCATATCCACCACATTTTTAAGAATAAAGATATGATATGTATGTTAAATTGAAGCTTAAAGATTCTAGTTTATGATATGATATAAAAATTATAAGATGATATTATTAAAATTCCAAGGAAAAAGTTATTAAAGAAGAAATTGTTATATTTATAAATCAAAAATAACGAAATTTTCAAAAAACCAAATCGTCTGTATTTTTAAGAATTTTAATATGATATGTATGTTAAATTGAAGCTTAAAGATTCTAGTTTATGATATGATATAAAAATTATAAGATGATATTATTAAAATTCCAAGGAAAAAGTTATTAAAGAAGAAATTGTTATATTTATAAATCAAAAATAACGAAATTTTCAAAAAACCAAATCGTCTGTATTTTTAAGAATTTTAATATGATATGTATGTTAAATTGAAGCTTAAAGATTCTAGTTTATGATATGATATAACAATTATAAGATGATATTATTAAAATTCCAAGGAAAAAGTTATTAAAGAAGAAATTGTTATATTTATAAATCAAAAATAACGAAATTTTCAAAAAACCAAATCGTCTGTATTTTTAAGAATTTTGATATGATATGTATGTTAAATTGAAGCTTAAAGATTCTAGTTTATGATATGATATAAAAATTATAAGATGATATTATTAAAATTCCAAGGAAAAAGTTATTAAAGAAGAAATTGTTATATTTATAAATCAAAAATAACGAAATTTTCAAAAAACCAAATCGTCTGTATTTTTAAGAATTTTGATATGATATGTATGTTAAATTGAAGCTTAAAGATTCTAGTTTATGATATGATATAACAATAATAAGATAATATTATTGAAATTTCCAGACAAAAAATATTAAAGAAGTAATTGTCAAATTTATAAACAAAAATAACGAATTTTTCAAAAAATCATATCGTCTGTATTTTTAAGAATTTTGATATGATATGCATGTTAAATTGAAGCTTCAAGTTTCTAGTATATGATATGATATAAAAACTATAAGACAATATTATTGAAATTACCAAGAAAAAAATCTTAAAGAAGAAATTGTCAAATTTATAAATCAAAAATAACAAAATTTTCAAAAAATCATGTCGACTGCATTTTTAAGAATCAAAATATGATATGTATGTTAAATTGAAGCTTAAACATTCTAGTTTAAGATATGATATACAAATTATAAGATAATATTATTGCAATTCCTTGCAAAAAATGGTTGAAGAAGAAATTGTAAAACTTATAAATCACATTTTTTTATGGAATGATATGAAAACTATAAGATAATATTATTGAAAATTTGAAATATTTAACATTTAAAATAACGATTTTGTGGTCTACTTCCGGTGGAGTTGAAGTAGTGACAATATTTTAGATCGAATACTATATAAACAAAATATCAGAAGCGTAGGTAAAATGAAACCAAAAAAAAGCAGGGTGTTGTTGAAAGAAGATTTTTCTAAGAAGTTTTATTTAACGATTTAAGGTTTCCCGTTTTCTTTAATACCCAGCGCGCGGCATTCACAATTAACGAACCTTATATAAAAAAAATGAAAATCCTTTAATAAGTACTTATTAAAGATCGCCTCCGGAGTCGGGATTGGAAAACGAGTTTTTTTCCTTCGTTTTCTCAATTTTCCAGCCGCCGTGAATTAAATTGGAACTTATGTTCCAGGAAGTCACTTTGTCGTCTTAAAAAATCGTTGATGAAAATTGGAAATATAAAAAAAAAAACACCATTTTCTTGTGGTTTCAATCTCATATTATTAAATAATATTTTAAGTTTAATTTTTTTTTAAGGGCTAGTAATATATCCGGTGAAAGATCGCCTTTCGACGGCTCCTGTTGTGGTTCCGGTTATCACACCGTCGATTCCACTCCGTTGGGTTCACCGGAAGAAATCGAAGTACCAAAATATCGGGTGGTTATGCTTGGTGATTCCGGTGTTGGAAAAACTGCGTTAGTTTCGCAATTTATGACATCCGAATATATGAATACTTATGATGCAAGTTTGGGTAAGAAATGTAATTATTTTCAAATATTCTATTATCTTTTTTTTTATTGTTAAATGAATTCATATATCATACAAAACGTTTTAAAAAATTTTATAATAAACCTGACGCTTTTTGGCATTTTTAAATCCAATTTAACATTTATATAGGAAAATTTGCAATGGAAATCACCTACAAACACATCGTGCATTACAATTTGACCTCAAATCCGAATGTTAATCCTGTCCTACACGTTAAATCATTAAACGATCAAGATTTTCGACGAATCGTAAAATATTAATCGGATTATGCAACACGATTTTAATAGGATTATTATTTTATTTAAAGTTTGAAATAAATATAAATCACAAAAATATTGATTTTGTGATGATTTGTTAAATTTTATTAATTTGAACAAATTGTTTTGGTTTTCACAAAACAATAATCACATCCTGTTTTTAAGAATACTTTTGTCTAGAAAAAAAGTACACTTTGCAGAAATATAATATTATTAGTTCTTATCCTACATCCAATCAACAGTATTAAAGCTGCTAAAGGACTGGTGAATGGATGTGGGCGGCCATGAAACCCGAACATTACATATTTGAAAGATAATCAAACAACCACAGTTGTTTGATTATCTCGTGTATCCTTTTGGGTGATTTTGGGGTCTATATGGTTGCTGCGAGAATAAGTACAAAGGACTTTGAGTATCCATCCAGTTTTGGGTTATTTCCTCATAAATTTGTTAAATTCATATCATTCTAGTAGTTCAAGTAGACTTTCATTATACTTTTCATTATATTTAACTTTCATTATATAACATTTGAATGTTATTCTCATCGAAATCTCTTTTTTTTATTTAATTCTTCTATGAAATTATTTTGATTTTAGCTAAAATTTGTTTCAGATGATGAATTTGGTGAAAGAACAGTTTCTGTATTGCTCGATGGTGAAGAATCAGAAATGATATTCATCGATCATCCATCAACAGAAATGTCTGTAAGCACAGTTTTGTTTAACTTTATTTTTTTCATTTAATATAAAACTGAAAGAATCTTTCTCCCGGGAATTGCTGTGGGCTTTATTTCGCCGAGTGACTCCCCAGCACATCAAATCGGAACGAGGAGGACTTGTTGTTTGAGTTGTTTTCGTGGCATCCAACATTTTGTGACATGCGATTTATTATCGGGAAAGTGCAGAAACTCCAACACGGATATACTTTATCCTCCCCGCGTCGACTAAAAACCATTTAATCAATCGACTGTGTATACAACAAAAAATAATCATACTATTTTTTTATTTTTAGTAAAAAAATAGATTTCAAATCCACATTATCACTTTGTATTTGAATAAAAACGTTTTGGTTTATGACATAAACTACTTCGTCAGTTTAAGTAATGATATTGAAAAAGAATAACAATATCAACATGCTTGAGAATTGGTTGCTAATATTTTACACTCGGTGTGGAACGAAAAGAAAAGTAAAAACCCTTTTACGGCGTGAACTAAATTGAATACACGGGAAGGCGGATGTAAGAAAAATAACTCGCCGGGGAAATTCGTCTTCAAAGTCCCTCTTTTTCATTTTCTCTTGATCTACAGAAAGTAGAAATATTACATCCAGTTATCGTTTTACCCACTACAAATGTTTCAAATTCCAATTGATTTCAAATTTATTATTTTATTCTTCAACAAACTATTCCAAGAAAATAACACACCAGTATATGCTTTGAACTTGCTGTACTTGAATGATAAGCTTGTTGTTGTGAGTCAGAATGTCTGTGAAATAGATTTGAACCCAACAAAACACCGACATCTTTTGGTGTGATTTCTGCCGTTATAGAAGTATTTCATAAGATCCTTATTAGTTAGAGGCAAGTTATCGTGATATTTATACCAAAAAGGCTTGGGGGAACGAATATTTGGAAGAAATTTGTGCAGGCGGAATATGTTTGATGGATTGGTGTGATAATGTATGAAGCAGATATATGAAGGTGGAAGAAACACAGGTTGGTGGAGAGATTTTGGACTCCGGGATATATAGTGAGAGAGGAGTTGAAGCTGGATGATCCGGGGTGGAAGTAAGCAGAAGGTCAAAAAAGTACAAGGATGGGCTGGAGCAGAGGAGGGATGATTCAACATTATGAAAGGAGTTACAGGGTAGAGATAAAGATGTTGAAAAATAAAAACGACATGCTCAGGTGAAAAAGGGAACATACAATAATGATAAAGATATTACCTATAATCACCAAAGAGCTTCATTCAGACATAAAGGCCCTTTTAACACTATAAATTATGTATGCAATCGCTGCATTAAAGATTTGAGCATAGACTTAGTTCGCTTCCTCTTCTTACAAACTTCACAGAAAATTTGTGATGCAGCCATAAACAGGGTAATAAGACACGTTGGGCAGGCTTTCAACTCTACAAAATTGGTTAAGATACAACTTAAGAAATCCACTGTAACTTTTATCAAGAAAAAAAGCAGTATTTTTCAATTATATTAGCAATTAAATAACGATTTTTAAAAAAGCAATCATAAAATTAATACAAAAAACATGAAATAACTAATAATGTTATTTGAACTTTTCCAAAAGTAAAGTTGATAAATCCAATATCCATGGAAATATTTTACGGTACGCGAGGTTATCTCATCACCGCAATGTAGTAACAAGTTTTAATTAAAACAGTACTCTCAGATAATCCTGGTTAAATATCAACGACGACGACAACAGCAACGGCAAATTTGTAATTACATAACCGTTTTAGTAACATTTTATAATAAACGTCGTCTGGCTTTAGAATATAAGCACAGGTAAGATCGAAATAAACGCGCAGAACAAAGAAAACGGAATGAAACGAAACGGAAACGCCAAGGTATGTTGAAAAACGCGAAACAATGCGGAAACGGCAACACAACAACGTTATGAAGAATGTCGAATTCATAAATTTCGTGTTTAAATAAACAGTGACGACGCGGCAGCGGTAACGAGTTGACTCCGTGTATAGGGGGAAATTTCATTTTTAGCACGATTCGTATAACCACAATAATAGGATTTTGTTTTCCTACATTTTTATTTTTCCCTGTTATTGTGAAATCTAATTGATTCAGCCGAAAATATACGTACAATCAGTTTTATTGACATGAAAAGCGTTTGATGTTTATCTCTTCTTTTAGGTTGAAAATTCGTTAAGTACATACGAACCTCATGCTTGCGTCGTAATTTATTCGATAGTTACCAAGTCAAGTTTTCAACACGCCGAAGAAACACTTAATTATTTGTGGCGCGAGGGTTATACTCAGGAAAAAAGCGTGATCGTGGTTGGGAATAAATCTGATTTAGCCAGAGCCCGGGTTATTTCAGCGGACGGTGAGTTATAAACGTTTAACTAAATTAATTTTGAATAAGTTAGTTTATTAGAGTGTGAATGTCGGAGTTTACTCAGAATTAATACGTAAGAGGACGAATACATACGAGAATTAATTTCAGTAAATTACATCTAAAATTACTTAAAATTAATTTCAAAGGGCAATAATTATCTTTAGAATTAATTGCAACTATATATATAATATAAAGTAAAACCTCACGTAAAGCTTAACGTAAAGAATGATTCTAGTTCTAAGTCTTGTGTTAGTTTTAGTGATAGTGCAAAACTAGAACTAACACTAGACCTAGAACTAGAAATATTCGGGTTTAGCCGCACGTCTCTCAAGACGGCTAAATCCGAATGATTCTAGTTCTAGGTCTTGTGTTAGTTCTAGTTTTGCACCAGGTCTAGTTCTAGGTTCTAGTGATAGTGCTAGTGCAATACTAAAACTAACACTAGACCGAGAACTAGAAACATTCGGATTTAGCCGCACGTCTCTCAAGAATGATTCTAGTTTTAGGTCTTGTGTTAGTTCTAGTGATAGTGCTAGTGCAAAACTAGAACTAACACTAGACCTAGAACTAGAAACATTCGGATTTAGCCGCACGTCTCTCAAGAATGATTCTAGTTTTAGGTCTTGTGTTAGTTCTAGTGATAGTGCTAGTGCAAAACTAGAACTAACACTAGACCTAGAACTAGAAACATTCGGATTTAGCCGCACGTCTCTCAAGACGGCTAAACCCGAATGATTCTAGTTCTAGGTCTTGTGTTAGTTCTAGTGATACAGCTAGTATAAACCTACAACTACCACTAGACCTAGAACTAGAAACATTTGGATTTAGCCGCACGTCTCTCAAGACGGCTAAACCCGAATGATTCTAGTTCTAGGTCTTGTGTTAGTTCTAGTACTAGTGCCAGTGCAATACTAGAACTAACACTACACCGAGAACTAGAAACATTCGGGTTTAGCCACACGTCTCTCAAGACGGCTAAACCTGAATCATTCTAGTTCTAGGTCTTGTGTTAGTTCTAGTGATAGTGCTAGTGTAAAGCTAGAACAAACACTAGGTCTAGTGTTTTAATTGTTATTCAGCGTTAAATTGTTGTATATTTTGATTGTACTAATACTAAAACTAACACTAGACCTAGAACTAGAAGAATTTGGGTTTAGCCATCTTAAGAAACGTACTGCTAATCCCAAATGTTTCTAGTTCTAAGTCTAAACATAAAGTGTTTGACAAACAAAAATCTTTTTAAAATACAAAAAAAAACTAAAAATCACTAAATTTAAAATATAACATCAAACAAAATTTTGTTTACTATATACGAGTACGTTAAATTGATTTATCTCCACAATTCCAGGCCGTTTAGTTTTAATTTATGCTATAAATCAATTTCACTGTCAGCCTCAAATTTATTAAACTCATCAACCTTTTGATTTTATAAAATAAATATTAAAGTATCGATTAAACACATAAACAGCCTTTGTTGAATGGAAATTTTGTGTGGTATGATTGAAAGCGTAAAAGAAAAACTGATAACATAGAGGTTGTCCAACGCGGATGATAAATGGGGATCTTTTTTGTTCTCTTTTATTTTAGATGGAAAAGCGTTGGCAATTTCAAGAGATTGCAAGTTTATTGAAACATCGAGCGGAATACAACATAATGTGGACGAGCTTTTGGTTGGGATTTTAAAACAGATACGATTACGCGAAAATCGCGATAAGAAAAAGGCGAAAAAGGATACGCAAAAATTGCACGGTTCGAAAACTAGCCTTAGTTTAAATATTGCTAGGGAGATTTTGCAAAAAATTTGTATGAATGCCGATATTAGTAAGTCGAAATCTTGCGAAAACTTACACGTTTTGTAAAATTACTTATCGAGTATTTCTAAGACTGGTTTAAATTGTTTCACTAATTATTTAACTTGTGATATTTTTTATATAAAGAATGTACTGTTTTATGAATATCGCTATTTTCTAATCGTTTATTTTGGATCTCTCTTTAAAATATAGACTGAAAAACATTAAAAAAACTCAAGCTGTGTAGTAGGAAAATTTAAAAACATTTCTAATTCCTTCTTTATAATCTGTAAATAGAAGTTAATAAAAATAAATCTGTTTATTTAAAAAAAAAATTATAAAGTGTTGATAAAAAAATTTGTAGTTGAGGCCTAATAATGTAATTAGTTAACTGTTGCTGTTAAAATAATAAATGTAACAGTAGACTTTAGCCAGTTTTTTGATGTGATTTAGAATATTATCAAGTTTAATGAATTAAATACTCATCTTGTAAAAAATAAGGCGTCAAAGTTACGGAAATATAAAGAATTTAAAAGGTTTTGCGAAAAGCAAATATAATTTATTAATTAAATCTCAAGGTTTATTGAAAATTATTTCTTCGTTATATCTAATTCGACTTAATTAACTTACGGAGAATACCTAAAAACAAATAAAACGAGTACAGTACAATGAAGTTTGATGATTCCGTATTTTAAATACTTACCGTCAATTTAACACAATCTTTATTTTAATTTTCTTCCTTGAGGTGTAGCAGCAACACGATCCAAACACAAACACCCATCAAATAAACGATTAATCTAGCTCAAAACAGTTATTTAAGATTTGTTTATCTTTTCCTTCCGAATCTAGACATGGTTAATATGTTTTCATTCGCCTACTCCGTCAGCAAATTGTTATTGATTTCAAATACATAACAATACGAAAGGAATGTTTATACAAGAAATCTAAAACAACTTTCTCGAAGTATATAAAACCTGTGATCTTTGTAGTATAATTCTAGACTTCCCTCTCGCTTGGAATTTACAATCAGCTCAGTGCTATATCGGACTACTTCTTACATCCAGAAATCTTATATTTATCCTGTACAATTTAAACGAGTTCAGGCACCTGAAACTAGTATAACTTCAGAGTTCTTTTCTAGGCCTGTAATTCTAGACTTTTTATTGCACTCTAAAATATGGGATCTGAATCTGAAAGTGTAACTATACACTTTTGACTCTTTTTCTTCCAGAAATTCTCAAATTAAGATGAAAATCTAAAATGTGTGTAAGGGGACCAGAAGTGATTAGAAGCGGTGCTATTACTGGACAATATGTTAATTAAAATGCAACTTCTTGAATCAACGAGAATCATTAACCCATACTTAGTTACAAATTATGAGGATTGACCATCATACAAGGCATAAAAAGAATTTAGGCTCAATAAATCTTGAGATTTCTTTAATTTCTTTTATATGGCAATTTAGAACAGTGTTCTTGAACCTTCTTTAATTCCTGCAGAATTTTTTCTTATTAGTGATACAAAAAATAATATGAATACGACTTTAAAACGAATGAATGTGATGATTAATTAATAACTTTTACTCAATGCTTATATCTTGCTTAGACCAACTATAGCATACTTTATCCACAGTAGATAAACAATACTACCTAATGTGTTTCCTCTTGCATTCATCTTTACTCCGTGTCGCTGTCATCTTTGTTATTCAGTCCTTCCTTAGTTTAGGCCTTCCTTGTTTCCGTCTTCCTCGAGATTTGGCATGTATGATCCTTCTCGGAACATACGAATCTGGTGCTCTTTCCACATTGCCCACCCATAGTAAGTAAGTTAAACATCAAGAAACATTTTTGGAAACAATTTCGCATCGCCCAGACGGCTACTAAGTGAAATAATCTTTCTTTCCCGGTTTTGGTGCAACATTAATGTAATACCTTTCTTGCTAGCGTCGATTTGCTGATTGAAGATTACGCTTGTAATTGCCGATTTATCAACTGCTTAAAAACGTATCTCAGGCGTCAGTCACCTCTTTAAATTTGTTTTGCCCATGCAAAAAATCAGTCAGTGGGGCAGAACCCGACATCAATCCACTTACCAGTTACGCAAACCCCAGAACCTTCTTGTTGGTCAGACTAGTGAGGTTTCATCGGATGTTAATATGTGTTTGCAGGCGTTTCACTCCACCAGATGTAATTCGACTGGATAATCAATGGTTGCTGCACTTAATTGACATTTTTCTTGAGACATATCAAACCCTTCAAAGAAAAAGTACAGTTGTTTGAGGTGATCACATAAATTACTGTACACAATTATATCAGCCAGGTATGCCACCATCTTTTGGAAGGTAACGGGGGAAGTTTGCAATCCGAAAGCATGACGGCGTTGTGAATACTGAGAGAGGCCGAAATTCTTTTTCAAAGGATCAAAACAAAATGTTGTCTTCTTTGTTTGGCAAGATTTTCAAGATTTCTTTTTGGCCTTAGTTTGTCAAACGAGCTCTAATTTGTGCTCTCTGGTCCTGATGGTATCTTTATGGAATCAGTAAATAGAGTAAAATAGTCAGCAAAGATGTGGAGTATTAAAATTGAACTGATAGTGAAATTCGAATTGTGGAGTATTATAGTTGTTCCATCGAAAGTATGTTATGGACCCTTTTGGTTGGATTAATTGTCGCAATTCAATTATGTTAACCAATATCAGTCAAGATTGAAAAAATGTTCTTTTTTCAAAGCATCATTAACTATACAATTCAATAGCATTACTTATTGCAAGAAATTTTCTGTTAATTAATTACCGCAATGTATTTTAATAAAGTAATCTTATTTATTATTAAACACTTTGATTTAGATGCATATAAGTTTTGGTGAAATACGATATTTACGTCAAAATGTAGAATTATTAATAGCCCCTAAGGTAAACTACATTATCATAAATACACATCATTAAATTTAATATTGACACACAACATCAAACAATCCTACATATCGTACACTTCGAACTGAATGCAGAAGAACTTAAATCTTTCTTTATTCAATCTTGTTTATATTTGATAACATATTATATAGTAATAATCCCAAAAATGTAGGTTGAAAAACACTGTTCTACAAAGAAAAAACATCAAATAAAAATGGATAAAACATTTATAATAAGGTACTAATAAGGTATTTTGTATATTATAGTTGATATGCTGTCAATTGTACAATAATATAAATGTACAAAAATATAAAACATTTAATAATAATAATATAACATCGGAATAATTTGTTTATTAAACTGTATACGAATATCGAGGTTTATATAGAAATCTGGTGTGAGTTTTGATGCTAGTTACCAGATAATACACTCTCCAGATATTTAATTTTCTACTTCTTGATGAATAGGATTCTGTAAAAATTCTTCATATCAAATAAAAACTTAAAAATAAGAAAAACTAAACCTGTTGTATTTAAATCATATCTAAAATAAATAAAAACTTCTACCATTAAAATATATCAAAAAATAATTGTTAAATAGAAAAAATTGTATAAATTAATATAACCGTATTTATTAGTTATAAATAAGCTTGTAAGTGTACAGCCATAATATACATGTATGTATTATAGGACACTTAAATATTTTAAAAAAAACTATATTTATGAATATATTTATGTACCGTTTCTTACTAAGACAATCAGAAAAAAACTTGTAGAATTATATGTTTAAAGCCATAAAATAATAAATTATATTTATAAGGTGTATAATGTTAAAAAATAAAACATTAAAATATTAATATTTTATTATTGTTTACACCAAAATATATTTAAAATAACTAAACATTTCATCACCAATTAGTAAATAATTTTTTCACCCTATCCGTATTTTCTGATTTCTTTTTAACTGCAGGACTAATATTATTCAAACGTAATCTTTTTAATGAAATAGGAGTTCCTAATTTACCATCATCAGCTTTTCTTTTTTTAACCTACAAAAAAAAAAGAAAGTAAAATTTATTATTGTTATCTATTTTATTTAAAAAATTTCTTACAGTTTGTTCCTCAATTTCAATGGTGTGGAAAACGAAATTTCTAGAATTTTTTGCACCACCGATCGTGGGATTTACCGTTTTTGATGTTAATTCTGCCACTCTAGCTAATACTTGTTCCGAACGAGTTAAAAATGAACCTTTTTTATTCTAAAATAAAAATTAATAATGTAAAAAATTAAATTAAATTTTGATTATATTTACTGTTAAAGTAAACGATGATTTAAAATCAGGACTATTTGATTTTTCTTGGTTTGTATTATTAGAATTATTTGAAGTGTTTGAAAGTGATCGTTTAATAGCTGCTTCTCCTAATTTAAATATTTGGCTGGTACTTTGTATTTCTAATGTTGTTTCTTCAATTCTAATAGAATCTTGTTGCTATTATTAAAAAAATTAATTTAATGTTCAAAATTAATGAATTGAACAAACCTTTTTCAAAAATATTTCTCTTTCATATCGTTTTTTTCTCCACTCCTCCTCATTTTCGTTTTCATCGTCCAAATATATTTCGCCATCGTCTTCATCTTTTCGTGTATCGTTCTCATCGTTATTGATATTTCTCCATTTAAATTGTCTTTCTCGACCTTTTCCGTGCATTTCACCGTCATCTAATAAAAGTTCTTGAAGAATTTTTACTTCGTGGTTGTCGTCATCTAAGATACGCCGCCTAAAATTAATTCAATTAATAAACGTCTATTAATTAAAAGCATGTACAAACATATGAATCCTTTCTAAATCTCTCTTTATTTTTCTCTCATCCAATTTATCATTATCGCCCTCTTCAAATTCTAAATCATCGATTCCTTTTTCATCCTCATCTGCACTTCCCCATTCAGACTCTGATAATTCAGCTTCTTTCTCAAAGAAATCAGCTATTTTCATTCCTTGTTTTTGTTCTATTTCAATTTCGTTTTCTTCAGAATCATATTCGATTTCTGGGATTTCCTCAACTTTATTTTGAACGTTATCTAAATCTTCTTCTGAATCGCTATTCTCATTATCTAATACTTGATTGTTTTCATCTTCGTCGTCATCTTGAATACAATTTCGAACTTTTTTCTTTATATTGATGGTGGGACATTGTTCTTCATCATCAGAATCGAGGATTTTTCCGCGAATTAAGTTTTGTGGGGATTCAAATTTCTTTTTGAAACTTTCAAGTTCTTCTTCATCTTCTTCAAGAAGACCCAAAATCAGTTTTTCATCATCTACATCATTAAAATTTTTAATTTCGTCATTCGAAGTTTTTATTGAAGTGTAAATAGTACATTTTGGGAGTATTTTAGATTCTACCGATTTTTCTTCATTTTCTAATTTTTCAATTGGGTCTAAATTTGTATTTTCATCTTTATCATTAGCACTTGGTTCCAACTGAGTTACTCCAGTAAATTTCCCAGAACAAATATTTAGAAGTTCTTGCGTTGAATTCTCAGAATCAGCATAAATTTCGGTTCTTACACTTTTTTCAGTGTTGTTCGTTGTTGATAAATTTTGAGATTGAGTCACAAACTTTCCAGAACATAAGTGTTCAAGATCATCCAATGTTGACTTAAAGAAAGAAATATAAGGAATTATAAAAACATCTCAAAATTATAATAAAAAAATTACCTGAGATTCTAACGCATTATCATCAGCAAATAACTTTTTTTGGGGCCCACTTTGAGACATTCGCAATGGTGAAGTTTTAGGCAAAACAAATGGAGAAACGGGAGAATCATGTAGAAACTTAAATAAAAATGAATCAAAAAAAAATTCTTATAAGCAAAGTAATTTAGTTACTTTTGAATTTAAACTTTGTAACCCTGTAAGATGATAAACTGGAGTTAAAAAACCCAACTCCGTTTTACTTTGAGTCATGTATGGTTTAACAGGGGTGTAATCATTGCGTTTCTGATGTGGAGTTGGAGCACTTAAATCATCCACTAAAAATAAAAAAATTTAAATTAAATTTTATACTAAATAAAGTACTACAAATGCTACAAAGACTAATGAACAATGAGACAGAGTTACAGAGTAGGAAGAAGTCACGATTTCTTTATTTTAATCAAAAATCAATGATTTTGTTTTAAAAATCAAAATTTGTTTGTAGTAATTACTGACGATGGAGGAAACGCATTCTTATATAAAACAATAGATACATCTGATTACTTAACAAAAATCGATTGTGAAATAATTTTATCTTGTAAAGCGAAATATAATTGTAATGTAACGTCATTTGTAATGGATATGCTGCGAATATGACAAGTATGAGAAGACATAGATAATAAGCTTAAGATTTAATGGTTCTGTTACAACTTATAGATGCTCACTCACTTTCTAAATTTGCTTTACAAAGACCTTGAAGTAACTAAAGTCAAAGAGCATGTGATCCAAAAAGGGAAATATTTTAGAAACCATCATCTGGATAGATCTAAGTATATGGCTTGTATATACTGATGGAAAAGTTTTTAAATGTGAGGTGGAACAGTATGGTGGATTCATGATTGTCTGCAAATACATGTAAGACAATGGGAAAAAACTGTGAAAAGTATGTGAAGAAAATAAAAAGGAAATTGATCTTACAATATACAGGGTAATTCAAATTCGACCTGATGATAGTTTCACGAACACCAAACGTCGGAAAAATGCTAGTTGTGTCATGACATTTTTCATAAAAAGTTGCCTTAAGAATGTTTTTTCAGATTTATGAAAAAACGAAAAAGTAATTTTCTTGTTTTTTGGCCATATTTTAAAAACTAAAACGGCTAGATCCAAAAACATTGTTGAAAAATGATGAGCTCTAAGATACGCAACTTTGCCCCCATTTAACCATTTCTGTATCTCTTATGGATTCTGAGATCCCAATGGTCGGGGTCGAATTTGAATTACCCTGTATGTCAAATAAGATACCAATATACCAAAAAGTACCTAATATTGATCCCAAACAATCTGCAGAAGATTATTTAAATATCTTAAAGCCCTCTCTATATGATGCTGTAGAAGTGTGGAAGAAATTAGGAAGATTATTTGACGAATAATTTTAATTATCATTGTCTCAAATACAAGTTTATCAAAAATACTTATGCCTTGCCATTTAATTGTATTTATTTTAGATGTAACTAAAACAAAATATAAATTGACGATAGAGGAGAAAGATGAAGCTATGAACACGCTTAGGGATACCTATGATAATACTACCAATAATAGTTAAGCTAGAGGCGAAAATGGAACCATTTTCTGCAAGGAAATTATATCTATTACTACTGTTTTACAGTGGTGGATTTCACAAAAGAACTTTCCTGATATTGAGAAACTTCTTCCAACTTTAAAACAATTTTTGTGTTGTTTGTTCTTCAACTTCAATAGAGAGGGGTCTTCTCAACATTTGGGGTCCAATGTGTGCAACAAATGAGGAGTGGAAAAAGCCAGAAAATTAATATAAGAAATATAAGATAATATAAAATAATTAATATATTCCTGAGTATTGTTTTCTTTTTGTTTATATTTATATATTGTTTTTGTTTGTCTTAGTTTTTAGTAGCTCCCTGATTTAGCAGTTTTTATACAAGGTGTCACACAAAAAACGCCCCAAGCTGTAACTCTGTCATTTACATTCCGATTTTCATGAGCGGGGTATCAAATGAAATAGTTTCATGAATACTATGATTCATGCTACAAATAAATTTTTTACAAGGCCATCTTCAATTTTAAGCGATTATTAACTTTTGCTTTACAAATTGCTCTATATATTTTTCTTTACATCATTGGATAGAGATTGTTTTTCTGAATCCACTGATGTACAATACATCAATTTTGAATATAATTTTAGCAGAGAAAAGACATCTGTATATAGAGGTTGCCACACAAGAACGCCGCAAGCTGTAACTCTGTCATTTATCTTCTAATTTTCATGACCCAGCTATCGAATGAAATGGTTTGATGAATACTATGATTCATGCTACAAATAAACTTTCTCCAACGCCATCTTCAATTTCAAGCGATTAACAACTTTTGATTTTCAAATTGCTCGGTATGTTTTTCATCGCGTTATTGGATAGAGATTTTTTTTCTGAACCCATTGATGTACAATAGATTAACATTAATTGTAATTTTAGCAGAGAAAAACAATTAAAACATTTTCCCAACATTGTTTCTAGTTATAAGTTGTTTTTTTTTATTTTTTCCCATGGCACACTACAGTATGCCACAAGTAACTTTAAGAGAATGTTCGGAAACTATTTTAATGTTTTTCCCTACTACAATTATAATTAATGTTGATGTATTGTACATTCATGGATTCAGAAAAAAAATCTCTATCCAATAACGTGAAGAAAAACTTACCGAGCAATTTGAAAATCAAAAGTTGATAATCGCTTTAAATTGAAAATGGCGTTGGAAAAAGTTTATTTGTAGCATGAATCATAGTATTCAGCAAACCTTTTCACTTGATACCTCGCTCATGAAAATCGGAATGTAAATGACAGAATTACAGCTTGCGGCATTCTTGTGTGACAACCTGTATCTACAGGTGTCTTTTCTCTGCTAAACTTATATTCAAAATGGATGTATTGTACATCAATGGATTCAGAAGAACAATCTCTATCCAATGACGTGAAGAAAAATATACGCAGCAATTTGAAAAACAAAAGTTAATAATCGCTTAAAATTGAAGATGGCGTTGGAAAAAATTATTTGTAGCATGAATCATAGTATTTATAAAACCATTTCATTTGATACCTAGGCCATGAAAATCGGAATGTAAATAACAGAGTTACAGCTTGGGGCGTTTTTTGTGTGACACCCTGTATAAAGAATATATTTATTTTCGTTTTTCTTTTGATTTAAATTATTGATCAATATAAAAAATGACTTCATTTAAATCAATGATTTGAATCATTGAATTGGGCGAACTCTGGTTACATATCAAAAAGTCAGAGAAAAATTGGGAATGAAGAACATTTTGGAATATATAGAGAGTAAAGAACTGAGTTTATGGGGACATCTAGTTACACTAAAAAGAGAACAGCAAGAAAAACAAGTTTGGGACAAATACAGATGAGGAGAGGAACAGAACAATCAAAAGAGGAAAAAAATGTATTTTTACTTGTTTCTGTTGTATCCAAAGGAACACTTTCAGAATCACTTTTTGTAATAATATTTGCAGGAACATTTTCGGTTTCTTCATCAGAATCATTTTCAAAAACCTGTATAATTCTTTTAAGTCTCTTTTTCTTTTTATTATTATCTTCCTTACTGCATTCATCTTCATCATCAGCATCCGAATTATTCTCATTTTCTTCTTCATTTTCTTCATTATCAACATCCATTTCTTCACCATCATCACAATCGCCACAATCACTTTCTTCAGCTTCATTTTCTAAAAATTCACTCTTTCTTTTCGATTTTTCTTCCATCTCTTCATTCTCATCATCATCATCTCCAATTATCTCACCACCATCTTCATCATCTTCAATTTCTGTAAATTCTTCTTCATCATTATCGATTGTGTCTAAAATATCTTCATATTCATCATCATCATCGTCAATTTGCTTCACTTTTTCGTCTTCATCCATTTCTGGTTTCTTCTCCGCCCGTTCTTTCCAAAATTTCGTCTGCTCCTCAGCTATTTTCATCTCTAGTTCATCTTTAAGTTTTTTTAAACGTTCACCAGGTTTCTCAATTATTGGAATTGTGTCGTCTTCAATGGTTATTTCCAGTTTTTCTTTGTGAATTTCATCATTTGTTACATTTACAATACTAAATAATCGAAAAAGAAACACCAAATAAAGTTATTAACATTTATGAAGATAAAAAATTACTTACTCTAAGTGAACATTGTGTTTATGAGGTAGTTTTTTTGCTGTATGTTTAATAAATCGTTCTTTTAACTCATTTACATTCTCATCAAGATCTATAAAATCTTTTGATTTTGTTAATGATGGTTTAAAGTTTCCATATTTTTCTCTAATAATATCTGAAACATTTTTTGGTTTTGATTCAGGCTCAAGTACATTTTGAGTAATTTCTTCGTGTGATTGAATTAAAGAATCTTCATTTTTTGCAGGCTGGATTAAAATATTTTCTAATAATGTTATATTTTTACTTCCTATTTCTTCAATACATTTCTCAACCATATCATTATTTATATTAACTAAATCACAATCTTCATCAGCTCCTTTTTCATTATTTAAATTTTTTTGATCCTCTGGATTATTTGCACCATCCTCTTTATTTATTTCTTCTTCACTTTTTGTTTGTTCAACATCAACCTTGTTTTTTTCACTTATCTCATCATCTTCAGATTTAAAATATCTTTCAATTTGTTTTTCACGTTCTTTAAGATTTTTACTAACCAATTCTAATTGTTGCATATTCATTTTTAAAGCAATTGCAGGTTTCACACAGACACTTCCATCAGGTACTGAAGTAGAAAATTTTGGTCTTTGTTCAAAAAACTCTTTTAATGTCCTTGTTTTAGGTCTATGGTAAGGTAAAGAAACATTTGTTTCTCTTGTCATTCGTTGAGATTCTGACCAAATCTCTCGTCTTTGTTGCAAAGCTTCTTTTGCAGTCATCTTTTTAGGGTTTTCTTCAACAAGTTTTTGAGGCCTATTTGAACTCAATTTTGACTTAATTGGAATAATGGGAGATTCCATTTCTTTCCCATTTTCTTCATCAGAACTCTCAGAGTCACATAACTTTGAATAAAGTTTTAAACTATTTTCAACAGCATCTTCCGGGGCCGTTTTTGACAAATTTTTATCAAAATTTGTATTATGGGAAGTAGCTGGTTCTTCTTCATCACTATCGATAATTGCAACACGTTTTTTATGAATACTTGTGCTGTTCCTTATGAGACAATCATCATTTTCTTCATCTTCTTCATGATCATTACTTAATTTATTTAATAAATCGTCATTATTAATCGATTCAGACTCTATTGCGGTTGGATTACTTATATTTAATACGTTCTTATTATTCTCTATGTCGCTAATATCCATTTTTATTACGTAGCAAAAATTAAATAATAACTATTGAAACTTTCATTAATAACATAACCTCAAAGTCAATTTGACACATTTTTGGCGCTTAAATCGCGACATCTATCAATTCATATTCAAAGTACATATAATTATAAAACTTAATTAACTCAGTTATGAGGTTTCTTTTAATTGTAGATTTAAATTTGTTTTATATATTACAAAATGGATTTTAAATTATAATCTTAAAAACTCAAAATCTTATTTGGAATTAATTTATTAACGCGACATCTTTCAAACAAACACGCAATCATCGTCACCCCATATGATGAACTGTCAATGTCAAATAATTTTTTAGGTTATACGCTATAAAACCTAAAAATAAAGTTTTTCTATCTTCTTCATACTTTAAAACTTGTAAAAAATGAATGAACTTGAAGAAGCGGAAAATACACTAAACACTGGAGAAAGTGAATCAGAGGATCGATTGACCATGTTAAATATAACTGAAAAGTTGTCCTCGATGCCTGACGTTTTAGAGTACATCCAAGGGTTGGAAAAGTTAATTGTTAGACATGAAAAGAAAATTAGAAAACTTCAAAGAAGACTTAAAGTACATTTATTTAATAATAAAGTATATTTATTTATTTTTAAACTTTGTAGAGAAAAGAAACGAAAGAAATTGGTGTTCAAACTGAAAATGACTCCCCTAAAAAAGGTTTAACAGAAGAAATTACAGAAGCTGCTCAATCAGCTATGATTAAATCTGGGTTTGTTTATGAAGAAACTTCAGGGTTATACTACGATTATAATTCTGGATATTATTATAATGCGGTAAATAAAAAGAAAATATTGAAATTTTAAAGTAAAAAGAAATTTTTAGGAGTATGGTTTGTATTATGATGGAAATACAGGAACATACATGTCTTATGACAATGAAAAACAAGAATATGTTTTTCATTCTCAAGTTGAGCCCCAAAAAAACAAAGAGGAGTGTACTCAAGAAACTTTTGAGAATCATAAAAGACATAAAAACCAAAGGAAAGCACAAGTAAGTTATTTTTCCTTAAAAATGATTTATATTAACTTTCCTTTTTAAGGTAATCACTTCTTCTACTATGGAGAATCTATCTCGATCAATGAGCTCAATGAAACTAACAGCTCTACGAGAATACGCACTTGGTACGTAGCACTTCAAGTAATTTAAATGTTATTTCCAGGAGCGGAAGAAAATCAAGAAAATCAACCAACAACAGCTAAAAGATGAACAGCAAGATGTTGATTTAGAAGAAGGGGAATGTTCGGATTTGTCAGAAAACCAGGAAGATTTCAGTGAAAGTGATATAGAAAATAATGATATTGGTAGATTAATTTATAATTTTTTTTTTATTTTCATATTAAAATTATCATATTAATTTATGCTTTTGATATTGCAGATATTTCAACAAATTATCCACCATGTATTCGGATAATAATCGAAGAAACATCAATACCATCAATAAAACAAGGTTCCTTATACATCATAACTTACGAAGGAGGCACATTAGGTCGTGAAGGCAAACACGACATCCTCCTCTCAGACATTAACGTTAGCAAACACCACCTTCAATTTAAATTTGATCAAAATGAAGAGAAATACTTCCTCACTGACTTAGGATCAAGGAATGGCACCATTTTAAATGGAAAACGGATGTCTGCGTCAAAACAAGAATCTGACCCAATGGAAATTGTACATGGTGCAAAATTAATAATTGGGGGAACTACAATGACATGTCATATCCATCGTGGTAGTCAAACATGTGGATTATGTGAACCTGGGTTGATACAGAAAGTCGATGAAGGGGTTAATAAGGGAGTTGGTGGTGGGGATAAAATAAGTATGCATAAAGCAGAATTAAAAAAACTTAAGAAAAAATTTGCAATGGGAAAATCAAGTGGTGAATTGGCGGCAGGATATACAGATCGAGCTCAAGCTCGAAGAGAAACTGTTGGGAGTCATAATGAAAATGAGAAGACTCAAAGTGCATCATTAAATCAGTAAGTCAATAAAATTATGTCGCAAAATAATATTAACACGTTTATGTCCCAATTAATTTTGTTAGATTTTTGTTTCCAGTTTCATTTTGGTGCAGTTTTTATCCTTTGCAACTTACTTTAAGCATTTTTTCATAGTTTTTTTTTAATGTTCCATTAATGCAACAATGGGCATGAATGGGACCATATACTTTGTCAATAAAATCAATCAAATCAACATAAACTTTAACAATAAATGTATTGGAATTGTTTATTATCCATTATCTTGTGTGGAAGTGAACAAAACAGGATTTATGCAGATTGACTTTACCTTTTTGACAAAATTCCCAGAAAGGAAAAAATCAATAATGTTATATTCTCTGAAAACAACGGTTATTCACGGCTTGATACTGGGTGTTTTTTTAAGCCCAATAGAACTTTAAATTGAAAAAAATTACACAAAAAATTAAATTTTAATCCAAAAAATGTTTTTGTTTGAATGATCAATTCATGGCATTAACATTTGAAAATGATTTCAGGCATTGTTCTTGACGAAGCGCATTCTGGACGTTCAATTTTGGGTCGCATTGCTGGCCGTATGTCACAAATAACAGGAACATTGTTGGCCTCCAAACCGTCAATTGTTGTTGGTTTATCAGCATAAATCAATGATTTTGCGTAGCCCCACAGGAAATAATCGAGAGGTGTCAATCGCACGACCTTGGATGTCAATTGACTGGTCCATTTCTCGAAATAAACTTATCGCCAAATTTTGATTTCAATAAGTCGCCGTATGGCACGTACTGCCGTCCTGTTAAAACCACATCTCACCCTGATCAATGTTATCCATGTTTTCAAATAAAAAATCATTGATTATAACGCAAGCTCCGGCTTCATTTTTGAAGAAATAAGGTCCAATGATGCCACTAGCATGGAAACCACACCAAGCGGTGCATTTTTCTGGATGTAATGGAGTCTGTAGGGTCTATTGTGGATTGGTTTCACTCCATATGCGGCAATTTTGTTTATTAAAAAACCCATTAAGCCAAAAATCAACCTTATCGCTGAACACAATTTTGCGATAAAACTTCGGATCAGTTTCCAACTGCTTTAGAGTCCAGTCGGCGAAAGAACGACGCATATGATGGTCTCGTGGCTTTAATTCCTGCACCAGCTGGATCTTAAACGAGTGTAGTCCAAGATCTTTGCGCAAAATTTTCCACGTAGTGGACGGACAAAGCCTCAATTCCTGTGTCTGACGACGAATCGATAAACTTGGATCTTCTTCCACACTTTCGTTTACAGCGGCGACATTTTCTACATTACGTACATTCCTTCGACGTGTTGGTGTTATTGCATCATTTAGAGAGTATGTGGTATGAAATTTATCCGCAGTTTGACGGATGGCTTGCTTAGATGGACGATTATGTAAAATTTTATTAATTTTAAATTTTAAAAGTCGTCCTCACTAGAAGTTTGACTAAAGCTGTAATGATTAAACTTTCTGTTGCTTCATCAATTCGAACCTCGTTTTCTAAATAATTATTTTCAACTTTAACAACACTTCAAATAGTCTTCTACAGTAACCAACGAAAAGTCTTTTTCTGTCAGAGTTTTCACAACGTTTAATTTAAATAATACAGTGGTAGTGTGGGAGCCTTGAAGCTGTCGACTATCCAGTTATTGATGTCGTTGCAGAAGTCTTCAATGTTGCTATCTTCACCACCATCATCTGGAGGAGTGATAAAAACATCAGCGATCCAAAAATCCTCGTCTTCTATTACTTCAATGAGTTCTGCAGTTGTAAGGGGTCTGAAATTATTAAAAATCTTTAGCCCGTTTAGCCCATAGTTCCAATATTGGAACTTTTGGCAAAAAGTGTTTTTTTTTGTACTTATCTTATTTATTATTATAAAACGTGTTGCTGCCTGCAAAATTACGTTGTGACTAACAACAAAGCGTGGAGGGGAAAAACCGGGGTGTTCCATTATTGGAAGTGTGAAAATTCATTTCTTGTTTTAGATCAATAAGCAGTGAAAATAAAGGTTTTAAATTATTATCAAAAATGGGTTGGAGCGAAGGACAATCATTAGGAAAGGATGGAACGGGAAGAATTGATCCTGCAAGTAAAATAAAAGTAATAAAAAACATTATTTTGACCAAATTTAATTTCAGGTTGAATTAATTTCAAATCCTGGAACAGCAGGAATCGGTAGCTTTGACCACAATATTCCGATAAATCCAAAAGGAGAAAAGTCTGATATATGGCTTAAAACTCAAGAACGTTATCAACAAATACCTGAAAATAAAGACAATGATTTTTAATTAATTTTTTACTTTTCATAAATATTATAAATAATTTTAAAAAATCTACTTTATTAAATAAAACGAATTAAGATTAATTTAATCCAAGAATACTTTATTACTAAATAAAAATATCAGCAATATAACATCACATTGTCGCTTTAAAATTACTAATACAGCAAGAACACAAAAAAAATTAAAACAATCTCGAAAACGAGCAAAATTTCTCTCACTTTGTGTTGTTTGCACCTTCAGAGTGTATACCGACGCTTGCGGCATGTTCTGCTTCGTCAACTTTAGTAGTTACGAATCTAACGTTTTTGTTTTCAGACAAAGATTTTTGCGTAAGAAGTTGTTTCACACCGCTATTCGATTTTTCAATGTTACTATTTCGTCTCGGTGATTTTTTCAAATCATTATTACTATCACTAGCTCGACGTGGCGATGTCGCACCAACATCTAAAAACACCGAATTCGTCTGACCATGAAAACTTCTTGATATTCTATTAATTTTAGGCGGTTCTATAAAAGATTCTTTTACCAAAATCATACCTCCTTGACTTTTATAATTTAGATTTTCAAGTTTTTGACTATTTGAATTAGCTAGAAATTTTTCTTTACTATGTGCCCATTTATCAGAACCAGGTTTTAATGGATATTTACTATCGGATTGGCGTCTTTCTGTAATCACTAAGATTTTGTTATCTTGTGGACTAGAAAGAATTGGCGAAAAAACGTCGGTTGATGACGATGTTGGGCTATAAACGGATTTTGTTAAGTCAAAATCTTCATCCTCGTTTAATACCAAGGATGATTCAATTTCTTCTGTTACAGTTACGTCACAATCTGCGGTTGAACCTGCTGTTGCATCGTTTGTATTGAATTCTATTTCAGAACCCCCCGAAACTGGTGTTACATCGCCACTTTCATCTTAAAATAAATTTCTTTTTTAATTAATTATCTAAATAAAGAACAATTTACCTTGTCGGACTTGAATGTTTGTAAAATATTCAACAAACTCTAATCCTTTTTCGTTTCCATCATCTTTTTGTGCATTTTCAAGTAAAATTCCAACATTTTCTAAATCTTGATCTAAACCAGGAGCAGTTGGAAACATATGTGAGATACTATTGACGTTGAGCCTATTTTTAAAAATAGTGTTAATCTTATAATTAGGTTGGGAAATTTGGAAAATTTAAAGATAATTCTGAGGTTGTTTTGAAGAAAGGTTAGGTAGATAAAACAAAAGGTGAACAAACAACAAAAAAACAAAATTTATTCTTTTTTTTGTCATAAGTACCCATCGCCGCTGATCACACTAGAAGACATCTCGCTGCTTTCCTTTGAATTTGAGTAAATATCGGAAATTCCCGGCGAAGAAGGACCACTGCTGCTTGATATAAAACTAGGAGGACCACTCCAACCTATAATACCAACAAAATAACCACCAAAAAATTTTATACACAAAAATAACTTTGTTAATTTATTTATTTACACCCCCAAAAAAAGTTTATACATTTTCCAAGAGTTTCGTTACTTTATATTATGATCAATCAAGAAAATATATTCAACGCTAGACCCACACACCAATTTATAACCTTCATAATCATACTCACTACTTGATGGTGACTGTAAACGAAGAGGTGGATGTCCCGAACCTGGACAACCGGCTATTATCGAATTTGTCGGAGTTGGCAAAGGTGTTGAAGGGTATTTGGGCGGTGTTGAAGACGGTGTTTTGTATAAGGGCGCTGTTGTCATTTTTTCTAAGAAATTATCGAGTTGTTTTAATGATAGAGCGTTGTGGAGGGTTTCTAATGGACGAATTGGTGGTACACCACCAAAACCTTCAATACCTAAATTAAAGAATATTAAGATCATTTTATTTAACTGGTAAGGCTCATTTTTACTATGTTCCTATTAAGCTAACAGATGGACATCATAGCAACAATTTGTAGGTTTTTAGATGTATCTGTAGATTTAGCAGGAAATTGTAAAAGCAGGCCAAACTAGTTTTTATTAATTACTTTAAATTGAAAGACATATCTAACCTCAAATACATTTTTTATTGATTGTTTGGAATATTCCTGAAAATATATCCTACAGAATTGTGTCCATCACAAAAAATCAGCTCTTAATTCTTATACTTGTAAGATGATGCACACAAACAAAAAAAAATATACAACATTAGTTATAAATCGAATATTATTTTTATTATTATTACTACAGGGTGGCTCAAAAAAATGTACTCACACTTTAACTGCCGCTATGCAGCCTTTTTGCATTGCAGGTGTAATTAAATAATCACAGCATGGCAGGAAATCAATTTAGTTTGGAAGAGGAAGTTTGTCCTGAAATATTATTGGAAGACCGAAAACGCCATTAAAGTGTAAAGACGATTCAGAAGGGAATTCGCAAAACCGCCACCAACGCGACGGACCATTCCTCGCATCAGAGACAAATTTGAAGCAGATGGACCACGGACATCCATGAGCTCTGGAAGAAGATCAAGTGCAGGAAACAGTCCTTTACAGAAATCTCTTTGATAAACTGATCGGGAAACCCACATCTCAAAAGATAACGTCTTGTATCTCATCGAGAATTTCGAGTGTGCAGAAAGTGAAGCATATGGCAAGGAACATATGTAGTTTTAGAAGTTGGATAGAGGATCCTAACAATACCCAAACGCTGTGATGGCATCTAGGGGAAATGATAAAGAAGAAGTATCTATACGAGCATATTTTCGTAATACCATCTTCGTACACGGGGAGAGAAAAAAATGGCGTAATGCAGGATAAAGTTGGCAAGCAAGGCGAACGATTTCCTCGACTCAGGTTGGAACTCCTTATACACCACGAAAAACGCCGGCGATACACCTTTGCATCCTAGATGATTGACCTACACAGGTTCGATTGGTTTTGCAAACATATGACATTTTCTTCGGTGCTCTTTGGAAGCTATTCTGAGTCACCTTGCTACTTAAGGTTGTATTTTGAGGTTATTTACTAATTTCATAAAATGATTAACATGTCTTTCAATTTAAACAAATCATTAGAAGTTTTTTATTATAACTTACCGGTTGCACTAGCTGTACTTGGAATCATATCCCTTAAATTTGGTGCACTGGAACTACCGGTAATAACAGCCGTTGAAAACAATGTTGAATTCTGGTTGGCACCTCCTGCTAATTTCTTAAAAGCCGCGGGACCCCCGCCCAATCCGAACCCTAGCATCTTGAAATAGCTCATCTGTCCGGCAATGCTGTGTCGGTGGCGTTTCGCGTTGGTCGCTGTCGCTGCGGCTCCTCCGCCCGACGCCGAACAGCCACCGCCGCCGGAATCTGAATCGGACACGCTCGGACCGGTTAAGCTTCGGGAGGTGGTCGGGTGCGAGAGCGACCTTGCGGTCGTCTTCGGCGGGGCGGAGAAGAACGATAGGAGCGTCGAGGGAGTGCGCGCGAAATAATACGAGGAAGTTAAAGGGAGGAGGTCATGAGGGATACAATCGAAACTACTAAAAGGTATCGGGGGTGGTTCCGTAACCGACAATAACTGTTTTTCATCGTCAAAAAATTGATTATATTTCTCAATTAAATAATATTTATGCATCTTTTCCGTTTCTAATATATTCGGATCGGAATACGAACGGTGTTGAGGTCTAAACTCCAAATCATGAAAATCACAAAATTCCCTATCATTACGACTCTCATGATATTCAATTTCTTTATTTTCTTTAGTAGATCCAACCTCTGAATTTTCACTTTCCCAATTAACTTCCAACGATGTATCATCAGGAATATCAAAACTTCTTTTGAAATGAATATCAGATAAAGGTAACTCGTTTGTACTCATTTTCACCCCACGATATTGACTTTGTTCCGAAGTAAAGAGTTTCAAGTTCAATTCAGTTAATGGCAACTCATTAGTTGAATTCATTTTTTCATTTCCACCTTTAGAACTTACAACTAAATTACTACAGTCGTTATCGTCGTCGAATGAACCATGTTTTGATACTAACGGACTATTTTTTAATGATCGCCCCCGGAATGGGCTATCATCCTCAACACCGTGTTCACCAACGTGATCAAAAGAACCAGAAATCGGACTCAATTGAGTTAATTTAAATCGAGTCATTGTCAATTCGGACCGCGGGATGTAAATCGGTGGTGATGTAGGAACGTTTGTTGGTGTTATGGGGTCGTTGTCGTTGTTTGGGGAGTTGTCATCTTCTGTTTGTTTTTGTGTGTTTGTTTAATTTTTGTGTTTATGAGTATTTGAATGTACGCGAAGTGCACAGATTTACATAAATTATAATTTTGAAGCATGCGCAAGCCGGGAATTAAATAATAAGGGTAGATAAAGGGGTTGTTTTTGAGAGGGGGCGAAACGTTGAAAATAAAAGAAAAGAAAAGAAAGAAACAAAGAGAATTAATATTTACCGTTACCAACAAATTGGGTTTTGATCTTTAGTATTGGTGATAAAAATTAAATTTGGAAAAAAAATATTTCAAGTTTTGTAATTAACTTTGTTTAAAAAATTATTTCGATTTAAAAGGAATATTTTCACCAGTACTTAGAAAAGTTATTGAACTAAATCTACAATTTATGACTGACTAAGTAGCTAACTATTTTTAAGATATTTTGAGAACCAAAAACTTTTTTTAGGACTATTCTACTTATTGCAATGTTAATAGATTTAATTTAAGAAAAAACCAAAAAGCTTTTGTTAAGTCAACATTATCTAACTTATAACTCAAAACCAATTATGAGATTAAAAAAATTAAAAAAAAAAAAAAAAAAAGATAACAGGAAAGATGTAAAGACCCAAATATACAACCAAGCAAAAACAGAAACAGCGGTAGCATTAAAGAAAAGAGCTGATAAGACACAAATGTTACAAAGCAAGCATTATTTATTTATAGAAATTCTAATTTTATTATTAAAATTTTATCACATATATATTTTTAGCTCTTTTTTACCTTTCAAGACTTTACAACGATTTTTTATTATAATTATCTCATTTAAATGTCATTTTATAATTATCATTGAATTATTATTTATTATTAACATTGAATTAGGTAAAAAAGAGAATCGATTTCAAATAAATATAATAAAAGCAGTGTTTTTCTATAAATAAACGTTTCGAACAACGTTATAGGTTGCCGTTTAGGATTTTTGTGATTATTATTAAAAAAAAAGATTATAAGAGTTCCAATAGGAAGCAAATCGCAAACTAATCGTCCTTTTTAATTTTATTTAAAAAAAAAGGCGAAAGTGTACCAAATACTTCCGTACAAATTAAAAAAGTTAATCATAAAAATACTTTAAGTATTTTTTATGATGAGGAAGCACCAAGGGCACGGAACTACCAGACAGATGAGTCACATCGATTTCGATACTCTTTTTGGGATCTGCCTGTCTCTCGTCATCATGCTGACGCGCCAAGCCAAGATTTCTACAAGACACTTTTAAAGATAATTTTCTTTTTGTTTATATTAATATCCGCAGAAAGAACAATACAGCTACCTGTTAATTTTAAAATCATTAAAAGAATTATTAATCACAAAATAGCTAATTCTAAAATTTTAAAAAAAATTATTTGTGTAACCTATCTTTGAATTTTGCAGAAACCTTGATTCACATCCAGCTTTTCTGTTTATCCAAAATTAAAAAAAAAAATAAACCGAAAAACTACAACAGCGAAGCAAAGATGTGAAGAGAAGTTAAAGGAGTTAAAAAGAAATTGATAAACAAGAAGATAATTTAACCCTTTTACATACTTTGAAATGCATTAAAAGGTTAAAAAAAAAGTTTTCAATCACACATTTAACAATCCTTAAACATTTCAGGTTTAGTTCCGATAAAATTAATAAAAAAAAAGTAAAATTGTTAAAAGAACGAACACCATATTACAATAAAAATCAATTCAAAATTAATAATCAAAATCTACTTTCAAAAAGAAGTGTTTTGAGTACGTGTATTAACCCCTGAAGTAGTAAGGGAGTTTAAAAGTAAAATAATTAACTGTGTCTTATCAAATAAAAAATAAATGGGAAAAAAACGAACCAAAAACACAACATAAACAATTTTTTTTTGGTCCATACCTTGTTGACTGTTCACAGCATCCAAACTTTGGAACTGGTGAAGTTGTTCTGTTAGCGATAAATAATTTTTTTGAACATTCTCCAAATAATTTTAACGCAAGAAATAACGACAACAAAAAAATGACTCGATGAATGTCGAATAATAAGCGGAATTGAAGATGGAAAATAAAAATTAATCGAATGGAAATGTGGAACAAATGTGGATGTTTAAATGTAAAAATAAAAATGATACCATGCAAAAAAGCCTCCCCCCTTTTTTCGTATTCACTTTTAAGAAAAGCGTAATAAAAACCCTACCTTTTCCTTTGTTTTGTTTACTATCATAACTCCTAGATCGAGGTTCTGGATCTGGACTTGCGGCTCTACCGCCCCTTTGAGTTTGATGTTCGAGTTCTTCATGGAGGCGTTGCGCCAAATGCATCGCCTCATGACCACAAACTGTATGAGAATTACTACAAAAAAAATAAATATAAGAAAAATTTCATTTTATATTTATGAAGTTATTTTAGTACCCAATTGGTATTGGATCACTCGTTTTATGCTTGTAATACTGATTGTGATGATCCAAAACGTCTGACGAGATCAAACTCGCACTAGTTGATGGTTCCGAATGTAAAGGACGAAGAAAATCACTTTTGTTATCTTCTTCCGGGGTCGACTCCGCTTCCTCTTCAATTCTTGGCGAACAATGACTTTTTGGATCGTCGGGTGTTGCTGTATCTGATGTATTTGTGGAGCTCTACAAAAATTAATATTGAACGCCATTTTTTTGGGTTATTTTAGAAATATTTACATTATTTTTGCTTGCAACTGATTCATTTCTTGAATGTGGTCTAAACCCAGGCCCGGGTGGTAAATTTTTCTGAACACAACAATTAACTCCAGGACTAAAATGTAATTCGATGTGAAAACGTTCTTCGCTTGAAGGATCTTTCGTTGGATCTTCATATAACATTATAACAATTTGGGACATATAATTTAGTTCTGAAACCATTGATATGTATTCCATGGCTCTTCGCCATTGTTCATCCTTTTTAACCTAATATATTAAAAAAATAATTTCGCTTTATTATTTTTCTAATGAACTTACATCTAAAAGGCCGCCATGTCTTAAAACTGTAATTAAAGAATGGATATGACTTTCACTTGTAAAGTATAATCTTGTCCTGACATGTCTTCCTGGGCTAGAAACACCATGTGAATAAACCGGATTCAAGCGATTAACATTTTCTTCTGATTCTTCGATATTTCGTTGTAAATCTGCTTTGATTTTTTTTAATAAAGGAGTACAGATTCCTTGACCAATTGTTAATTTCTCCTGAACCGTCAATCCATATTCTTGAGGAATAACAATGTCTGCTAAATATTTTGCATTTATATACAACTCTTCCGCTTGTTCGAATTGCAAAGTATGCTGATTATGTTGTAAATCGTATTTGATGCAATCATAAATGTCTGGTATCTTGCTAATATCGTAAATTTTGTTTTTCGTAAAAAAATCTTTTTCGATTTTACCCCAACGGCGACCCATTAATTCCCAGGTTTCCGCGTGATAAAGGACAGCATCTTTCGTCTTGGGGTCTTCTTTTTTCTGACGGACGATTTCCATAAGGGACTTTATTAAATCATGGACGCGTTTGCAACATTTTACCGGATTTTTTACAAATTCTAATGCGTCGTTTATACTTCGGGAATTTCCGGGGTTTACCTTTTCTTTATCTTCTTGGGAAAATTCTCTATCTAATTGCATTAACTCGTGTAAACGAGATTTACACCTACAATAAATTAATTTGGAATTAATTTAATGATAGCTTTATAAAAATCATCTTACATATTTTGATATTTACTACTATCACAGTCATTATCCAATAATCCATTAGTATTGGCACTCTTAACCATTTGGACTAAAATTGGGGTTAATTCTCCTTCCAAAGCAAGTAGTCCTTTGGCAAAAGCGGCTGCTGTCATTTGAACTCGACCTTCGTCAGAAGCATAGATTTTCAGGTCATGTCGAAATGTGGAATGTAACCGTAAAAGTCCTAAACCTTGAGCACCCGCATATTCACCTAATTTTTAATTTGAGGTTAGAAAAAAAATGTATTGTGAAATTTCGAGATGATCACTACTTTTTATTATTATTTTTTAGTAATTAAAAACTAAACTATAAAAAGTAGCAATAATAGCTATTTCCACATAGAGATGGCAGCAAAATTAAATATAACAATGGTTTTTAAAATGAAAACAAGACACATGTGTTCAAACGTAAAATATAAAAAGCTAAATACGAACCAGCCAGATGTCTACCTTGCCCGCCTGGATACATGCAACGAAATATTTTCCCCAGTTCTTCAGCTTGGATTCGACCTGCTGGTGTCAGCTCCCCACCCCATTTTAATATTAGGACTAGCGAAGGTTCAGCTGGTTTATCTACTAATAAAAGTTTATAAATTAGATGATTTTTTAAAATCGCGAAATTAAAAAAAAATGATAAAATAATTAAAAAAAAGAAAAATAACCAGACACACTGCTACTGCTACTAGCGCTAGCTTTACCATCGTCCGAACTTGACCCCCTTGGACGACCTTTTGGTTGATATTTCATTTGGACTTTTCTGTTAATACCAGAAAAATGACCATACCTAAAAAAAATTAAATAAGAAAAAGAAAAAATAAATAAATAGTTATTACATCTCCAAAACGCTCTTTAATTGTTCTAATTTTCCTTGTTTCTCTTCAATTTCCGGATCCGCTTCGTGCTGTTGTATTTCAGCTAATAAAGATCTTGCTATATCCAAAATTTCTTGTAATTGTTTCGGACGTTTCAGTTTAACATGTCCGTGTTTATAACCGTCGTATTTTTCAAAAATTTCAAAGAATCTAACAAAAAAAAAGTAAAATAATTTTTTATTCATTATATATTAACTTGGGTTATTCCCAGAGTAGTCTATACGATGCAGTGTTGCCAAACGTACGATAACTATTTTTTTTGTAAAGTTTGTAAAGAGTGAAGTTTAATTTATTTTATTTTTTTGTATTTAATGAAGATTATTTACACAATATTTTATATTTATTATGCGTACGATATTTTAATTTAAAAAACGATAATTTTTTCCGCGCATGTACACACGATAAGTATAATGTTTAAATTTGGCAACACTGATACGAAGTATAATTGATATTTAGAGAATATTCAATTTAATATTTTTATTGAACTAAAAGTAAAACTAACTAATATAGAACGTATTTGTGTGTATTAAAATTATTCATTGACGCAATTTAAAGTTGTTATATCGAGGTTTTCTGTACTTACTTTTGATGTCTAACTTCAACTTTCATTTTTTGTTTAGGTGTTCGATCTCCATGTCTAATAACGGCAACAACGCACCGTAACTCCATCATTTTTCCGAATGTTGTTGGTACAATAGGCGGATCGTCAAGTTGAAATGGAACAGACCAAGGTATATGTAAAGTAGGGGCGAGTTCCCTCAAAATCATATTTCCCAAGATTTTTGCACAATCGTCGTAGTACTTGTTGGAGTTTTTCACAAAACTGAATCCGTTCACATCGCAAACAAACGACTTCCCGTTCGCTCTGAATAAATCGAATGGAATGAAATGTAATATAAATCTTTTTTTGTTTGTGGGGAGTGGTCAGATATACCTCAACAAATCGAAACCGCATACCGCTTGTTTGAACGCCAAGCATACTTTCCGGGATATCAGTTTTTCCGCGTTACTCAATATCACAGGGTATCGAATTTCTTTGCCGTCTCGGTCTCTTTCTACTTTACCATCAAGTGCTGGTGATTTTCTTGCTTCTGCGTGTGCATAATCCGGACCCACTGTATAAACCTGGAAAAAACAAAAATATTTTTTATATAAATTGTATTTTTATAACCACACTGATTTTTAGGAAATTCTTTTTGCATACTTTAACATCTGTACCATCTGTGGGCATAAAATCTTCATAAATAAAACTTCCTGTTTTTCGTACTCTGGACTCTGGCGAGTAAACACTGCTTCTACTGCCAATCTAAAAAAGAAAAACGTTTTAAAAAAAATCACAACATCAATTATAAATATAACCTTTCTAAATAATCGTTGACTCCCGCCTCCAGCGGAAGTTGGGTAATAAATATAAATATTATGATCTTCAGCAGAAACAGGTTTTTCAACAAATGGTTTATTAAAAACGACTCCATTCACTTCAACGTGATCCTCAGACTCAACCAACTCATGATCTAAAAGTGACTAAATCAACAAAAAATTTCTAAGGAATTTCAAAAATTTAAATTTACGTTTCGGATCTGGACTGTCACGATCTAAAACGGCATATCTAGGAATTTCGATGCCTTCAGATTCCAATATCGAATAAACTTTTCTGCGATCCTGTATATCGTACTGCATATGTAAATTGTTTATCACGTAGGGGTTGTGAAGTCTCGCATACTGGACGGCTTTCTCCAATGGGAATCCTTTCGAATGGAACGATATCAGGCAGTCGCAACTTGGCCATTCTTCAACCGGCTTCTAAATGTTGCGGAAACAAAAAAGGGGCACGAAACGTAGAAAGTATAAATAATGACGTAACAAACCTGACGAACTAACGTAGGTAATAGATAAGGACGAAAGGAATTTAATTTTTTGCTAATAATAAAACCTTACTTTTTTAACGAAAAGAGATCATTTACGTAGAAATAAGAGGGTGCGGGAATGTTAAAATTTAAAAATATATAATCAAAAATATAATAATTTGATAACATTTTAGGATCTACTACCTACAGTCTTACTTGTAAAATCACCTCTTCGGGAAACACGATCACTTTTATGTATTCAAATTCTTGTAGTCGCGTCAAGATCTCTTTCATCGGTTTGCTTTGGGATTTCTTCGCCATCGCGCATACCCCGACCAATACTTGCTTTCCCGTTTCCTCCATATCCGGAGGACCTAAACTGTTGTCGCTCGAATCGCATTCTAAATCACCCTAAAAAAAACAACATTTTTAATCCTTTAAAATAATACAATATAAAAATATCAAACCGATTTGTAATTCCTTAAATAATTTGGCACACGTATTGTTATTTTTAAAGTTGAAAAACCTTAATTCGCTATTTTTAAATTATTACCTAACATGTTAACGTTTAAATTTGTGTTAGCAAAATTAATACGGTAAATCTTAAGGTTAATAAACCACGTTATAAATTTAATTAAATGTTATTTTTTTCAATTTTCGGCAATGAAATTTATTTTCCTAAATTTCAGTTTAATGAATATTTGTTAATTGGCTATAATGATAGATTTTAGAATAGTTTAGAAAAGTAAATTATTTAATAATTACCCAGTAATTATATCCTTCTAACTCATCAAAGTCATTAAATGCAAACATCAAAAGTTAATAAATCAAAATGCGTTTTAAATTTATGTTTTCTTCAATTTTACATCTTAGATTTTAGTATATTTTTACAGTTTGATTTTTTTATCTGTCATTCCGTCACTTTATTATCTGTCACTAATACCTAACATTACGGTGGTTTCTAACTTTAGTCTTTAACTTTCAAAAAATTTTGTGTTACATTGTACAATGTTTTCTAAATATTAATTAAATTGTGTACATCCTTCGTGGATATTTTGGGGGTAATCTCAGAACACACAAATCACACTCAAACCCTTTTGTAGATATAGAGAGATCCATATATGTAGGTAGTTAGTTTAAAATAAAGAATTTATTTCTGTATTCCGTGTATACATCCCGTTTTTAGTAAAGATTTTCAGCATCAAATAGTATAAGAAAATATAAAAGACATTGTGGAAAAGTGAAATTATTAATTTATCACCGCATTAATCTTGATGCTTTGGATTTTGAAACAACGCCGGAATATAAAAAATGTTTATTTTGTTTTTATCTCATAACTCAAAACGTTTATCTCAAACATCAAGTTGTTTTTTTTTTAACGTTATAAAAACATTTCCCAAGTTTTTTTTGTTAAATCTTATAACGTTACAACTAATTATCAAAAAAAGTAGAACCTCAAAAGTAAAAAAGAATATGGGTTGAAGTGGAGTTTCCTCGAAAAATAACTTCTACTTATTATTCTTAATAGGGATACCCCCTGTTTTATCTGACTATTTCTGTTCGTTCTATTCTTGTGATGTCTATGTCTATGAGTCAACCAATCATTTGGGGGTCTTCCCCGTGGTCTTTCACTATGCGACTTTCTTATTTTGGTAATTTATGCTAATCTATTCTCGTTCATCCTTTCATCTCCATTCACATCGTCTTTGTGACGCACACCGAACGACATCTTATGTCTCGCATTACTGCCGTATTTTGATACACGTTATTCTGTCATAAAACGATCCCCATTATCAACCATTTAGTATTTGCATCGCAATCGTATACAAAATTTGGTCTTGGTCTTTTATTGCTTTTCTATAGTCATTGATTTTGTTTTTACTATTGATATTCTCTTGTTATAGTGGTTGGTCATCACGTAGAATTTTTTCAACTCCTAGGGTATATTGTCCTGTTCTTTCTTTACAATTCTCGAAGATTTTATTCTTAATGAGGATAAAGAAGCAATGGCTTAGGTTTTCTCTTTCGCAGACACCTAATTCAACCTGAATTTCCTCTGCTAATTCATCATCCAATTTAATCTTGGTATGGTTGTTGCTATACAAGTCTGATTTTTTGCTTTAGGACTTTAATCTCATCTGGCAATTTCACATTATCGAATGACTATGTGAAGGCGACAAAACAAGGGTGGTTAATCAAATTCTATGGACTTTTCAATTGAATGAAAATATTGTTTTTTTTTTAGAAAAAAAATCGTTTATCTTGTAATAGTGTGACTCTTAATGGAATCTTTTTAATATAAATGTTTAAAATACTTTTTTTCTCGGTAATATTAATTACCTTATTCCCATCGGGTAGTATTTTAATTAAATTTTAAATATTTACTAACACGTTCAACGACACCCTCGTTAGCACCACGCGAAATCTAACCGGCTGTCGTCACGCGGTTAACGACTACTAATCGTTGAACATGCATCTTTAGAATTAGGGCATCCCCACTTTATGCTAGGGTCGAGAGGAGACCTCATTAAAAACATGAAATGGATAATAGAATATTCCTATCTAACCGGCGTCGTCACTTGCTAGTCGACAATTCTACTACAGTTACGTGGCTGAATTGTGCACTGGGGATAACGTAACCAGTAATGACTTGCTTTGGTCAAAATCAATACAACATGGACTTTCTGGTCTGTTCTATGGGCGGAATATGCGAGCGATGTTAGTTTAATTGAGCGACTCGAAAGGAAATAAGCTCATCAAAAAGTTCATATATGGAAATTCGACATGGAAGTTCGCTTCGATTTGCCCAATTTTAATTTCTATTCAAAACCGGTATGGAGAAAATAAATTCATATTATACGAGAAAGAAATTTTAAATTTTGATATCTACGGTACTTTCTTCCAATGTGATAGTTCCCAGCATAACTCGTAATATACATTGTTTTGAGATTTTGAATCAGTTGAAATGGTTTACGTTCTGTCCGTATTGAACTGTTAATAATATGGCAATAAAAAGGCTGACTACAACTCAGTTTGCAGGCTTGCTAAATTTTACACCATCCATGAAGAATTCAAGATTAACGATTATAGAAGCAGTAGGATTTTTTATGAGAGTGAGCACAACTTCATACATAACAAAGTTGCAATGGAAAACATTAAAAAAGTTTTAGTGATATAGTTAGAAAACACAACTCAAAAGCGGATCACAATTGATACCAATACAATTACAAATAAGACTTTGAAGATTTATGAAAAAATGGTAAATCAGGTACCATCTACTGCTTCAGCTGAAAAAAACTTTTTTTTTGCAAGCCATGATTAATTTCAAAGATACAAACAATGACATTCTTTAAATAATGTAAAATTGAAGGCTGATCAAGCATCTGCTTCAAATACAATGATTATTTGAGCAGTGTTTAAATTTGAAAACGTTTAAATTTATTTAAAAAAAATCTATTTACCCAATAATTATATCCTTCTAATTCATAAATTTCACTAAATCCATACATGTTATCCTCGAAATTATATTAATAAAATAAACATAACTCCTACACAACAATATTTACTACAACAAACTACTGTGCCAAATGATCCGCACAAATGAAATCTTTATTACATACAACACTCTAAAGTTAAATGTTATCCGCGATAAGATCCTCAGTTATCTCGTTATTCTCGTTCACTTGTACAATTTTGTAAACTTAATACAGAGTCATCGTCGTTCGAGAAAATAATCAAAAAATTACGATCGTTTTTAACGATAGTCCCGTTTTAATGACTGTTTTAATGTTTTGTCTTATTTTTCAGTACGTACGTAACAATCGTCGCAAAAACACACGTCCTCCGTATCGGATTTCATAAATTTCTTCAATCTCCACCAATATTTTAACCAGGGCCATTCCATCACACATTTAAAACAACCGAAACGTAACGAATACGCTGCTACCGTAAAATTTGTTACTTATTAAATCGGATGCAGTGTTGGTTGTTTGATCACACCCATAGGTAACGTTCGACAAAAACCGTTCGTCTGTCACATGCGACAGATGTAGATTACGCAACTTTTTTAGATGAGGCTACACGCGCTTTAGGTTTTAAAACGATTTCGATTCAGAATTAATCGACAAGGACGAGAGTGAAGTTGCGAGAGTAAATTATTTGAGTGATATTTTCGAAATGATCTACAAGAATCGTTTGCGAATTATGTGTTATGGTTTTATTTTTCTTTAAATAATTCAAATTGTAAATATTTACCATTTGTTTTTGTCATAAGTGTTTGGAAATTTTTTGGGATGGAAATTATAAGTGGAAGTTTGCCAAGTTTTATTGGAGCAAATATACTTAATGTTTGTTTACAAGATATCTATGTAAACTTTCAGTTTTTTTAAAGGATATTTGAAAATCAAAGGAGTCAAACCAAAACATGTTAATTTTTCAAACCAAACCATAAAATAATGAAAAAAATTAAAATCATACATATTCCGAAGATTTATCCACATCTTCAACAAACACAGCTGGTATGTTATCATAAACTTGTGACATCATTTTAGGCAAACTACAAATATTTAAATTGGCACAAAGATAATCTACCTTAAACAGCAATAAAAGTTTTTCTACTTACACCTCCTACATAGAACTGCGTAGATCTACCACCAGCAGCCTTGCGAAGTCCTTGATAACCGTGTTCCAGTTGAGTATATGACATACTGCGAAACCATTCCGTTTGAGGGTTATCTTTTTTTAAAACTCCAGGTACACCTATTAAAACTTGACGAAATTGGTTTGATTACCGTAACATGGGACGGTGCAATTCACACTGCAGTGCACGACTTTTTTTTGCTGATGATACTCCTCCTGGCAATCCAAAACGAGCAGGTCACAAAGTATTGATTGTTCTCGGTCCTATTTTTACTTTTTTACACGTACGGGATAGGTTCATTTGGGACTAGTTCTATTTACCGTATCCTAAACAGTCCTTGAAGAATGTCAAATTAAATTGTTATTATTTATATAAAGCGGTTTCGATTTAAAAATAAAATGAATGAATGTTAAATATTTTTAGGTTAGGACGGCGAGCTTTGACGTAACAAGTTTATTGTCACATCAAGCGACATCTATGAATTAGATGAAAAAGATATTATTAATAATTTTTCACATCATTTTTAATTAGATTGAGTGATTTTTAATCAACAATATGTAAATTTTATTAAATTTGTAATAATTTTACCATAATTGGAATATTATATGATTTTATTATTGTAAGAAGTCAAAAATTAAACTTTATACATTAATTCTATTTTTAATCTGTAGATGGGGCTACCTATAAAAAAATAACCTCGAAAAGTATTTTAAACCATAACATCTTTTTTAATGAATTATTAATTGTTTTATTGATTGATTTTTCTAGCTATAAGTTAAATGGCATCGAAATGGTATAATCTCGCTGTAAAGAAAACAGATTTACAACTCTTAGGTACTCTAAACGGTGGTCAAAGTTTTAGGTGAGGTTATGTTTTTGTTTACACTTAGAATCAGACTTAGAATTTTTAAATTTTTATTTCAATAAAATAACTTTAATTAATATTATTGTTGTTTTAAGATGGAAATTGGATAATTCCGGAAATAAAGAACAATGGATAGGAATTTTTGATCATAAATTGTGGATTTTAGAGCAAGAAAATGATGCAATTAAGTATCAAGTTTACGGAGATGAGGAAAATGTTAATGAAAATGAAAAGGAGTATTCAAAATTATTGAAGAATTATTTTAATTTAGATATTAATTTGCAAGAGTATTACAAACAATGGTCAGACGCTGATCCGTATTTTAAAAAGGCTTCAAAACAGTTTTATGGGATTAGAATTTTGAAACAGGATATTACTGAAAATATATTTTCATTTATTTGTTCGTCTAATAATAATATTTCCAGGTATATAGTAACCGTAATAAAAAAAATTAGCAAATTAATCACTTTTTCTTTTAAGAATAACCTCGATGATTGAAAAACTTGCAACCTTTTATGGCAACAAAATTTGCACATTAAATGATACAACATATTATAGTTTTCCCACAATTAATAATTTATGTGTTGAAAACGTCGAAAAAAAATTATCAGAAAACGGTTTCGGGTACAGAGCTAAATACATAAGCAAAACTGCAAAATTTATAAATGAAAATGGAGGTGATTTATGGTTAGAAAAATTAAAAGAAATGAAATATATGGATGCCAGAAAGAATCTTATGAATTTAAGTGGTGTTGGCCCAAAAGTAGCTGACTGTATATGTTTAATGTCTTTAGGACACCTTGAAGCTGTTCCTGTTGATACTCATGTTTATCAAATTGCCACTCGTTTATATTTACCAAAACTGGGGAATAAAAAAACTGTTACTGAAAAGGTTTATCAAGAAATTGGGGAATGTTTTAGGAATATGTATGGTCCTTTAGCTGGATGGGCACATACAGTAATGTTATGAAATAATTTATGAATAACGTTCATTTTTAAATTAATTTTTAGATTTTATTTTGTGCCGATTTAAAGAAATTCCAACAAAATCAAGATGAAAACTCTGAACCGATAACTAAACGCAAAAAGAAATAGAAATATGCTCGTTTTTTTTTATATCCATTTGTTTATTTTTAATTAAGCAAGTTTTAAAAAGTATTAAAAATTAAGTTTATAACCTCACTTTTTATTGATTCCTTTATATCATTATATAAGCTATCATCAAGTTACTTTTTTAGATAGTTATAAAGCATTTTATTTAACAAAATATAAAGATAGAACACCTAAATTCATTTTATAAAAAATTAACATTTGGAAGATGGTCCGAAAGTTTTTTAACCCTTTCATCATACAGATTCTCAAATTTTTGCGTCATCTGCACGTCCATTTTAATAAATTCATTTTCAATGTATGATTCCAAATTGACAATATGCTCTTTAAGATGATTATTTAATTCTTCTGCGTCTTTTTTCAATGAATCCATTAATTCAATTTTAATATTTTTCAAGAAATTGTTTTTATCAATATAATCAGTTCGGATCCTTGGTGACATCATCATATGATGATTTTCCGGTTCAGGTTGAACCCCCGTTGAATTTTTTCTAATAGCTGGTTCAGGAATTTTTTGATTACTTTTCGATATTTCTAACTGAGATGACACAACCTTTTTGGTTTGTTCCGAAAATGCTTTCTTTAAAACTTTTTTTTTGGTTGTTTTTCTCGTAAACATTAATTTCGTTACTTTTGTTGAGTGAGCTTTCCAACATGTAATGGGATGTAATAGATTTCTTACGTCGTACATGTAAATAAATCCTTCATTTGAACCAATTGCGATTGTATTTCCATCCGGACTAACATCAACAGCACTTAATCCATGTTGAGTGCTACTTCGAAAAACACATTCTTTTATACCAACATCGTGAACGCAAAATTTATTATCTTCACCAACGGTTACTACTACATCATGATCTATTTTTCCGTAAGCAATACCAGCAATAGCAGCCGTATGAGTTTGGGCTGAAAATGTTTTATTAGCTGTATTTGTATCCCATAACATAATAACACCTTCTTCACTCGCAGCAGCTAAAATATTTTCCTCCCTTGGATGAAATTTTAATGATGTAGGTTCGACTATATCCGAAATAATATAATTTCCACAGCAATGACCATCTATAACATCATAAAGAACAACACTTCCGCTTGAACAAGAAACAGCTAAATGTTGATCAGATACATTAAAATCAACGTGTTTAACTGATGATGGTACGTTTCCAAAGAGTTTACTAATTGTTTTTCTTTGAGTATCATAAAGTGCAACTTGTCCCAAACACGTTCCACAACCTATAATCCGTTTTGTTTTTAATTGGAAACAAACGGACGTGACATCATCCAGGGCCGCTAAAGTGTGGATTTTCTTGACATCGTACGCATCTTTAAGAAAAATAATTTCCGGTTTCGCTTTTTCCGAAACGAATACCATGTAACAATTGTCGTTGGAAAATGAAGCTGAGATTACTTTTGATAAAACCGCCGGGGTGTACACGATATCTTCGTAAACGTGGGGCCAAGAATGTAATTTTATTTCTACCGACGATGACATCAACATCTAGACATAAAAAAAAGTAAGGTATTATTTCAAAATAAAGAAGAAAAGTATGTTATGAGCCAAACCTTGATTAATTTTTATTCGGGAAAATTTTCAGTTCAAAAACATTATTTTTTATTAAAAAATAAACACACAAAAAGTTTTACTTCAATTTTGAAAGTAAATTTTGACTTCTGTGTTAAAGAGTCAACAGAAAGTGTCAAAAAAATCGACTTTATTTATTAATAAATAAAGATTGACAACAATCAAGTCAAAATTAATAAATAGGTTAAAATCAGAAAATTGTTTAAAAAATGGTTTACTAAATATACCGTATTTGTTTTAATCTAAGACGTATCATATAACTAAGAATGGTTTAAAAAAAAGTCTTAAAGTAGAGTTAGCAATCAACTAAATTACGGCATAGCATATCCGGTTATAATACGTACCCCATTATTATGAATTATGAATAATGTTATAGTAAAAATTGGGCGTCTTGGATTCTAACAAATACGGTAATTTTATTTAATTTTGCAACGACCACAAATTATTCGCAATTATTAATTGATTGTATCAAATTTTGGTTAATTCTTTGCTTATCAAAGCTTCCAAAGATATTCATTATCAATCTGAAAGTTAACAAAATATACTCTAGTACAGCGATTCTCTACCTGTGGTACTACCACTGGTGGTACTTGGCTGCTGCCGTGGTGGTATCGACAAGCTATGCTGACATTGAGGTTAACTTTTTTACTAACGGAAGTAGTACGTAGAAATATTAAAGGCTTAACTTAGGCTTAACTTGTATAGCAGTATGTATAGTACTACAAACATTACAAGGTTAAGAAACACTGCTCTAGTAGGTAATTATTAACTTAATAATGAACTAATTCTTCTTCCTCAACCTGTTGTCTCCATTTATTTCTGTCTTTTGCTGTTCTAATCCATTTTTTCTCCGCCACAGCCTTCACATCATCGATCCACCTCTTTTGCGGTATTGCTGTATCTCTTCCAGTTTCTCGTGGCCTCTAAAAGGTTATCCATTTTCTTCTATGTTTTCTCTTGCCAATGGGTATACACTAAGTTGTTCTGCAGTTTTCATTGTCAAGACATTTCAAGACATTTTGGTTTCAAGACATTTCTTTGTTTTTCAGTATAAAACTGACTTTTCCAAAAGCTGCCCATGATAATTATTATTGCTCATAGATATTTTTGATGATGGCAGTGTATCGCGAATCTATTCTATTCATTATTTAATTCTGCCAGAGATGACCAGGTCTCAATGCTATCAAACACTTTGTGATAATCATTATATTCTGTGTTTTTAACAGTTTGCAAGTAGTCAGTACTGAAATCTTTCTGGAAACTGGTTGATATGAATCTAGCTATCACATGGTAATTTCATGGGTGAGATGTGATTGAACCGTACTTTTTTCATCGATGAAAATGATCGCCATGTTACGGTAAATGGAATTCGCCATCATGTCATGTTGAAAGACTATTTTTAGGCAGAATTAGATGACCTTAGCATCAATGAAGTGTGGTATTCAAATTGTTAATTTAAAACCTAATAATTAAATCGGCTAAATTTTGAATCACATTTAATATTGAGAAGTAGAAACGCAATAAATTCATTGTGACAGTTTTAAGGAAAATGTTTAACACCTATTTTCAAAACTTTTCAATACATATTAAGTTATTATCAAATTCATGTTTAGATTTCATTCATAATTGCACTAATAGCAATTTCTCCTTATCGATGACGTCACAGTTGATGATGACTCTTGAACTCCATTGAGACGAGAAAATATTAGTAACGCACATGAAAATAACAATACTATTCGGAAATGTAAAATTTTAATGTATTGTTATAAGACATGCGGAAAAGTTATTTTATATCATTTCAAACCTAAAAATGTAATTAGATCTCTTAAAAATATCACAAAAAAGTCACGTTCTATTTTTTTTTCTCGTTGATGTTTTAAGGTTTGTAAAACCATTAGCTTGACACGATCGTGAGTGGAACGCTGCTGCTCTTCAATCTCGGTCGTAACGTAAACGTACTCTTGGAAGGATGTGTTGGCTCGCTCTCTTGTGTCTTGTATCTGACTAAAAAAAAATCTACGAAAAAAAAGAACTATAAAATAAACCACTTTTTTTATTCTGGTTTACTTGTAGTACTTAAGAACAAATTTAAAAACATATTTTAGTCGACTAACAATCATTCCGGAAGTCACCCTTTTCTACTTTCTTTTTCTACCTCCCAAAATAAAGAATCTCTCCTTTTTGTGCCAACGATCCAAAAACCTGGGGTTGTAGTGTTTCCTTTTCTCTCTTTTTTTTCTACCTACCATCCTCGGGGTCCCTCTTAAGCGTTACCTCATTATGCGAACACAAAGAACTCTCCGCGACCGTAGATGGGAATCGAAGGGGACATAGAGGAGAAGGAGGAGAAGGTCGGATGGGGCCCCTACGACGGGCGACGGCTCTTAAAGGGGAACGAAGAATAAATAAAAGCCGATTACCATACGAAAAGGTGTCGTCTCTCCGGTTTCTTCTGCCGCGGAGACAAATTGTGTTTGGCGGCTATTACACGTTGGAGAACGAATGAGGGGACTACGAATGTGAGGGTTAATTATCTAAATGGGGTGTTCCAAACTCAACCCCTTCAATAATAATACTGTTGAAGATCGTGGGGTTTTACATTGTTTGTCATTTGGAAATTGGTTTTGAAGATTACGTTTAATTTATCTTAAAGTTTAAGTTTGGATTATGGATAATTTACGGTTCAAAAGTTTCAATTCCTCGAGAGTTGTAGAGTACTGTTAAAAGAAAACAAAAACATTACTTCAAACAATGCTTATAAATAGTCGCCTTGGCATCGCGTAAACGCCTTGCCACGATCCTTTAATAAACGTAAGCACCAAGTACACCCGCTTCCGGTTGTAATTAAAGCGTCACGGCAACCGCACCGATACGACGACGCGGACTAAATCGGTTCACACTCAGTCTTCTTTCTCTTTCTGTCGTTTTTCCTTTTTCATTTATATTCCTGCTCCTTTTATACTTCCCTTTTTTATCAGATGCTGTTGAAATAATCGCATTTTAACTGAATTCGCATCTTCACTTTTTTTATATCCTCACACATCCAAGAACGTTCGTTTCGTATCGAATCATCACATTATTTCTTTCTCTCTCCAGCTTATATAGACACATTGTCGGTGTAGTTTCTCTTTTCAGCCTTCAAAGAAATTCCTTCCCCTACTTTGTACACCTTTTACGAAGCGACAGATGTTGTTCAGGTCTTTCGCTCAATTGATGTTGTTTAGATGTTGAATAGATAACGATTTCATTATTCAATTCGCACAATTTGCAGCTATAAGACTTTTTTTGTAATGATGTTAAAACATCGTTTTTGTATTTATGAAATAAGCTGTAAGAACGTTTAGTCATCGATTATTTGAAATCGTAAAGTTTATTATTCGAACCATATCTTGTTGAATGACTTGAGTGAAGATGTTATTTAATTGCTGACGCAGATGTGTTTGTGTTAAAATGTTTTATTTAATATTACCCGCCTTGGTGCATAAAAGAGTTTTTACAGTTATGAAATTTTTGTTTATAAATGAGATGATTATTAAGAACATAAAATAAAATCGATGTAAAACGAATTAGCGAGCTGGCAAGTTGACAGAAAGGCCGAGCAAGTTTGTTGCGTGTTGACACCGGTCCAAATATTTTACATATCCGCACGCCATACTCGAGCCACATTTACGTGATAAATTGGTGCCGTTAAAAGCTTGACGGTTATAATACCATATAACACATTGCAAAAAAATACATAAAAAAGCAAATATTTGTTGAAAAATGAATAAATCTAATCTGAATTCAAAGATTTTTATATTTTATACATTCCAACGTCCCATTTATACAAACATGTCCACTTTATATTTATGTTTATGTATTAATTGTGCACAAATTTTTATTACTGACAAACATTATTTTTTAAAACTATATTATATTTTTTAAATATGTTTTTCACGAGAATATATCATGATAAATCGTGTTAAATCTCAGATATAATAAAAAAATCAAAGAACTTCCGTTACATTGGAATATTTATTTGGAATTATAAGATGGCGTGTTTACCTTCGAAACACTTCGGTCAGGGAACTAGTTCGTTTAGTTCCCAGTAGGGTGTAGACGCGTATTGGGCGCCATATTGTTTCTAAATCAAATTTGTGTCAATTTTTATTGCTAAAATCCTCATTTAGTGATTTGTGACTTTACAAAAACGAGCTTTAATTTAAGGTTTGCAACGGCATCGATAAGGTAAATATCAACTTTTATTGATAAAATTTATTATATGTTATCAAGACGGCGTTCTTTAGATATGTTCAAAAATTCAATCTAATTGTGACCATAAGCAGTTCGAATTATGAAGTTGTTCATATTTTTGAAAATACCCCAAAAAAGTATTTACCAAGACATTGTTGTCTCCAACGCCGTGAATGTTCAGCATACTAGGGGGCACTATCATGATAGTTGTAGTCTGCAAGATCAATAAATGCATCAGTAGTTGTACTGATAGAGCTCGCTCCATTTCTGGCTGTTATAGAAGTTTATGATTGCAATTGCATTATTCGTAGAGAAGAGTTTGTGTCAAAGCATCTAAGTCCTGCACTGAATCAGGTGTTATAATGTAGTAAACCAAAAGCAAGAGTTTAAAAAAAAATTTTTTTAAGGATCCGAACACTTTTCTAATACTAGTACTAATAGTGCACAATGTTTACAGCTTGCACGTTTGTTTGTGTCTTGGGTGGCCAGGAGAATCTTTCTGGTTTATCTGCCCGCCAGTATTTGCTTACATTGTACTTCATTCCCCTATTCGACGAATCAGAGGAAATCCTGATAGCAAAACTGAGGTAACATATTTCCATCTAAATAATAAACTCGTCAACAGAAAGCTTAGAATACAATTCGAGAATACACTTGATCTTCTCATTCAAAAAATATAACATGGGAAGCGTCGGCCTTCCGGTCCTGGTCTTCTCAACCGCTGAATACTGTACGATAGTGTGACTTAACAGTGCTCATGGCCACAGAATCGCTGCTCAGCTCAATCATCGCAAGGATTATCAAATCTACTCCCAGTATACCACCCCCAAACCTGCGCCGCATAAATGCCATCACGAGAGAGTACAAAAAGATCAAAACCTACCAATACGAGGAAATTGAGGATGCCAACCACCCGATCAAAACATCAACTACTATCATAGATGTAATAATTCAGCCTGAGTAACGCTTGGCATCAAGAATGGATAACAAAGCAGAACAATCAGATCCCATGTATTACGTAAAAACCTCATAGTTTTGATTTACTACACAAAACCTGCTCTACTCTAAACAGAATATGGATCCAGTATAATAGATACGCCTAGTTTCTGAATAAATGGAGCAACACAATGACGACCCATTTATCAATGATGCGAATGCTGTAAAAATCAAACCATAAAACATATTATAGAAGATTAAAACCTAAAATTTTCCTTAAAAAACAAGGATACAGATATGTAGAGATTCAAGGTGGATTTATGACTAGCGTCTAGTTTATTTCTATCATTTGAGAAAATGATTTGCAGTTCCATACATCACATTAATTATTAATTTAATGTTAATAAAAAGTTTGGAAATCGCTGTTGTAAAGGTTGCACATACCAATAATAATAATAATGCCGATGAATTTTTGATGAACTTTTTGAATTCTGCATGAAATGGAAGTCTAATATAAAATTTTCAAATAACCACGATATTTCGTTTTGTTCATATTTCCACAAAACATTTTAGATATAGGGATGCAATCACAAACTCTCCTTATTTTTAGCGTACAATACGTAGGTAAAAAGAAAAAAGTGGGGTTGCCATTTAAAAAAATTAACTTTTCGACTTTTCGAGATAGGGAAATTTCCTTTCAAAGTTTATTTCTATTCTTTTGATAATGGTAGGTAGTTGTCACATTTTAGTATCTAATTATTATTGTTAATAATAATTAAAATTAAGTGTATTTACTGATTGGTCCAAGGAACATTCAACGTTGTTAATTAAATTTTTTTTTTCGATAATTTTTTACCCATAAAATGAAGTACCTCGCAATCGCGACTATGAATTGTATCACGTAAAGCATTGCAGAATCAAATTTTGAAATATTAGCTTTAGAAATAAAATGGTCCAAAGTACAACACCTTCCCCTACATATAGACTCAACTCGTCGTGACAAACCCTATACTTTGCAGCTTACGTGGAACACCCTGTATTTCAAATTAACCTAATTTAAATAAAAATGTCCTAACTCCTGATATGATTCATACGAGTAATCCTAAATTGTGGACTTAATAAAATTGTATCATATATCAAATTACACATATTTTATAAGTTTATTTCATTCATGTATTACATTATCACTTACATTTTTTGTTAATTCTGATAAGTAGTTGATTTTAAGATAGCATTTTTTGCATTTGTATGTATTATGTATTATATACATACATCAATCTATATCCGCTCCGTTACGGACACATATGTCATAACCATCACAAACAGGGTGTCCATGACGTCACGTACCAATATCCTCCCCACAAACAATAAATTACCATAATTAGAAAACATTATATAATATATCACAACTAACCCCGGATCTTAATAAATTAATATTATTATTAATTAATAACGTATTAATTTAACCTAACCTTACTTTGTAAACAATTTGAAAATTATAATTAATTGATTTCATACGGAAATAATTAACAAAATCAACTTGATTGTTGCTCAATAAAATATTAAACGTATAATCAAGTCAAGTACATCTTAAGAAGCTAATAATTATTAGATGTTTTTGATCGCATCGGGTTTTATACACATTGCAATAGGGGGGAACAAAAGAATCACGGTTTCGCAACGGGCGGCGAACCGTCAGCGTCATGGGGCTTGTTCGGGTACGATCGTCAACGATCGGCCCCCCGTTCGAACGGCTTCGGTTAGTTGATTTTGTGTTGCAGGCCAACGCAGTGTGCTCTGGTGTCGCTGTGGCCAGTTTTTTTCTCTGTGCTGAAAAATTCTTGGAAAATCTGTTTGAGTCGCGTCCGTCAAATGTGAAAATCGTTTTAATTCGCGACAAGTAATAATTCGAACAGCTTGCTTCGACGGGTTCGTGCTGAAAATCCCACTAGATCATCAGTTTTTTTTTCTCACTCTGCTGCTGCCGTTCCTGGGGCTGTGCGAGCACTCTGTGAATGTGTTAGTGTATGTGTGTGTATACGTATTCGGTGTCGGTGCCTGTGTGAGTGTGTTTCCAATGCAGTGTTGTGTGCGAGAAGTTCGACTTGTGTATGTGTAGTACGGTTCATAACACGCCTTTCCACGTTTGGATTATTACTTATTATTTTCAATCTACCGCTTAATTAATTAACAACCATTTCCGGTGAAAAAAATAACGAGTATAATCTATTATTCATTTAAAATAAATTTTTGAATACCCGGAAAGTGATCAACAAAAAAGAAGAAGATTCGATTTTCTTGATTTTGAAACCATCAAAAAGGGTGAGTATCGTTTAGTTAAAAAATCGCCGGATTTGTGTTTCCTTTTTAAAAATCGAGTTAACATGATTTTTTTTCTTCCCAATAAATTGTTTACTTTGTTTGAAAAATTGGGCGGCCATGGGGGACCGTTGGTTGTGGTTCGAGTGAGATGACAATACGTCACCTATCGGATGTCCTTGTCGTACTAATGGCCGTTGCCGGCTCCGCATGACGGCGGCATCTAGGCATCTTGGTAAATCTGTCTTCTGCCGGTCTCTTCTCTCGCTATTTCTTTCGCTCCTCGTTTACAACCAAACCGATGCGATGTTTCCGTCTCTGTCTTTGCGGTTCGATTCCCCTTGTGCCTTGTGGAAGGTAGCCATTTTGTGTGACTAGAGAGCTGACGTTCCTTCTTCGTGTGTACAGCGACATCAAAAGAGAGAGAAAGAATAAATATCTTTTTTTATGTTATTGCTAGATTTCGTAAACAATAAATAATATATTAAGTTATTTAATACCTTTTCAGTTTAATTTTTTAGTGTTTTTGAATAAACAAATGTCGTTTTTTTTGTTTTGATTCAATATTGCTGATTATGTATTTATGAATTACGTTTAAGATTACGTACGATTTTTTTTACATTTTGATGTAATCAGGTATTAATCTGATTGAACTGAAGTAACAACCTCAAAATTTATTGAGATGTCAATTTTAACAAGGTAAAGAGGTGAGGTTGGTATGAATGATTGATGTCGACAATATGTCAATCTTGGTAACAAAGAATTGGAAAAAAGCAAAGTTGATAGAAAAAGTAATTTTTTCAATAAACGGGCTAAAATGAAACCGGATAAATTTGTTTTCTTCCTTTAATAATTGAATAATTGATTATTATTGAAAAGGTAATATTTTCAGTTAATAAATAATCGTTGTTATTAAACTTTTATTGTTAATTTAAATCTATTAATAGGCAATTATACAACGTGTACATAAAGTATGCAATCAATTCGATAAAAATTCGGAGGTATTCTACCAGAAAAAAAGCCTTGGACATCTATATTATATTTTTTTACCTTTTTTTAATACTCAGAATTTTACGTAGAATCCATAAATGCAACAAAAATAGGTGTTCCTGTTTAAAAATGTCAACTTAGGCATGGTATCTCAATTTTTTTTTCCTTTGAATTATCTCTTTGTTAAAAGGTATACACAAAATGTAAACTTGTCCCCAACTCCTTTTTTACACGATTTTGAAATAACACGATTCACCAATATACTTTTTCACACGAATTTTTGACAAACAATAATATCTGGATCGAAACTCAGTTCCAAAACATCTTATAGTCAAAATCCGATCATAGTGAAAACGGAAAAGCACGTGGTGGTTTGGATAGAAGATTTACTGAAAAAAGGACCCTATTGATAAAACCTATTTATAAAAGAGAAAGTACTTAGAATATACAGTCACCTTTAGGAATTCAAACCTTCAACAAGTCTTCAGGTAACAAAGAAGCTGGAATTTAATGTAAGTGAGGAAAAAATTTTGCCAGCATTCGTCAAAAGTTCCGTAGTACAAAAATCAACTGTCAAGTCATCAGCCAGGTCATATTTTTGTCATATGGTTTTCTCTAACAGACCAAAAACTCGTATTTCCAACGAGAATACGGGTTTAATCGGTATTAAAGATGTCTTACCCTGGACATAACTTATCAATTGATGAAGCACTGCTCTTGTGGCATGGAAGGTTAATATTTAGGCAGTACATTCCAAATAAAGCTATCAAATATGTTATAAAACTGTATGGTTATGTTTAAATGTTATTATTTATTCTGGAAAAGGAACAGTTCAGCAAAGATTACGAAGACATGCATCAAGTGTTGTTCATGAAATTATACAACCGTACCTAAAGAAGGACACACTATTTACGTGGATTATTATTATTCAAGTGTAGAACTTACAGAAGATATGCAACGAAATAGAACATTTAGTGGTACTATTCGGAACAACAGAAAAGGCACCAAGGTTCAAGAGTATTGCAGTTCCGAACAGTTCTGAACCTTTCTGCGCATACATTTAATATGCGATATGTATGCCTAGAAACGTTTTGAACTGTTCGGAACTACAGAACTCTTGAGACAAAACAGATCTAATGTAATTGCTTGTTTTAATCTAAATATATATGCTTTTCACATCACAAAATAACTTTAAATCAAAACTAAAAATGATGGGATGAATGAATGAAAAATATTTTAAATTAACCTAAAAAACGTTCAGTAAAAATTAGCTTTCCCTATCAGCGAAAGTTACCAACTTATGAGAAATTTCTAAGAAATAATAAATTTAGAAATTTTTGAATCATAAACTAATTGCAATGGAGACGATATTATTTAACTCCGAAAATTAGTAGCCGAAATGAGCCTTCTAATTGAAGTAAGTTTGTTGTACTGTTTAAAACCGCAAACGATAGAAATTTCTTAATTTTTTAATCCGCAACTATAATAATTTTTAATTTCTAATAGTAAAATATGAAAAAATAAATGTTGAAGGATGTAACACAACACTGGTTTGAGCATGTTGTGAGCACAAAAACTTGCTGCAGTGATTTAAATTGCAAAATGACTATTACACTAAAATCAATAACTTTCGTACTAAATCCGTCAAGCGGAAGTGGCACCCTGAACACATCATGTCTTGTATATGAGGTGAATTAACCAAATGTGCTTAATTAGTCAAGTCATATGTTTCTTTAAGGCATTTTTTTGCGTTTTCGAAACGTGATGTATCAGGTGCATGTTGAAATTAAACGTTTCTTATTTACTTATAAAGATACTGTGATGTCGAAAAAATCCGTTGAAACATCCAAAAAATTCATTCGCGAAAATATGAACATTTTTGCAACATTTTCAACTTGGCAATTCCGACTGTTCATTGTCAGTTTGTATATTAACCTTTATATCGAAATTGTTTCGCTATTCCCACACGTAAATCACTTCTGACGAGAGTATTGATGTACCGCTTTCATAAATGTGCCGTTTCCAGGTGGATGAAAATGTTGATTAAGCTTTTCATTGCTCTAATTATTTTATCACTGCCTCCATAAACGTATTGACATATTAGTAATATGTCCTACTTTGATTGATCTATTTTTTTCTTTTGGGGTGTATGATACAAGTGCCAAGTCAAGGCATAACAGAATTTTGAATTTGTAGGAGTCTATTTATAATCTTGCGTATATTGGCAATAAGCGTAATGTTTCTTCTTTCCTGCATTGAAAAATGCTCAAAATATAAAATACAATGTATGGTCATCGTTTAAACTACAAAATTTTAACCCGTATTTCTCCAGCTTCAATTTTATGGACGAACGAAATTTACTGCGACTGCAATATTTCAAGAGTATTTTTGTGTTAAAAATTGCTTTTGTTGCCAATTCGTAAGCATGTTAACAAAAACATGAACTTCGCTCTTATTTTCACACACCGATCAGAAGTAACTTCTTATTGTTTCGTCAAAGGTCGTAATTATTCACATTTAATGATTTCTAAGGAGCAGAGTCGCACAATTTAGAAATAAACGATGTGTTTGTAATCTTGTTCTTGTGATTAACGTCTTATTGGTGCTTCTATCCATTCTAAACTTACGCTAATAATAGTTATACTAGTCTAAAGAACTATGGTTGATATCCTAAATTCAATTTTGAATTTATAAGCTTGGAAATAGGTAGTCACGACGGTGGTAACGAGGTAACCAGATGTAGTGTATAGTCTTGAATATGATAAAGTGGTTAGGAGGATCTGGGAGAAACGTGACAACTGATATTTTTGCAAGCCTTGACCTAGTCGGAAAATTGGAAAAAGAAATCTAACATTGCTTGGGACAATGCGAAAAATTAAATTGGAACTACTTCGAGAATTCAATCAACTATGCCCAACAAGGTTGAAATATCTGAAAATGGAAAATAGAAGCCATAGATAATTGTTGGCTATAATAGAACTAAATCGACTGGTTCATATTATAATAAAATGCAATGAAGAAAACCAATGGTGTTTTTTTTATAATATGGTAGTGGAGTTTCTGGATACATCTAAATAAAAACTGGAAAACTAAATAAGGTTACAAAAGTCAAGAATTTCTCAAGCAGATGAAAGAATTGATTAGTACTTGAAATCGTGAAGAAGCTTCTATGTCATAGTACTCTCTCAAGAAATCCAAATCTTGAAGTGAAGTAGATGTTGGACATGCCCCAGGAATTTTGACAGAAAGTACAAACACATGTAGAAAATTTAAAACACCATTTCCTTTTGTAATGGAAACCAATACTCAAGGAGATAAAAATAAGAAATCCATGAAAATGTTGTTGCAAGTTCCAATCATATTTTTTTGTGTCATAGTTGGTGGTGTACCTAAACATTGTGATGGATCGAAACGGTGCAAATAATTTCAAGTTTATCAATAATGTATTTTTTAGTGATTCTTTACTTGATAATAAATACTTTTTCTTTTTTATTACCTTCCTTATCGCCTCATTTCTTTTTTTACGATTATTCATTTTTTATTGTTTTTTAATTCTTTAATTTCATGTTTCAGACAAAAAAAATCCCATTGCGTCAATACGATAACATTTCACATTTAATTAACATCTCAATAACATTTACTCGCTAAATCTCGAAATAACACGTAAATTAACAAACAATTAATTCCAATAAACATTTCAAATTATACATTTGTTATTAAATATGTCTCATGAGTGACATGGAAAATTTTATAATCTATTTGGTGAGTTTGGTATATATCTTAATACATGCTAAGTTGTGTCTAAAAATAATTTTTTTATTCATATTATTTTTTTAGATAAAAATAAAATAATGAGATGACAAATCATTTCCTAGCACGCAAAAAATGTTTAAAAATAGAGAAAGAAAAAAAATAAACAAAACGGAGATCAGTATTTTTATAACGCGTCGGTTGCAACGTAAAACTGTCAGCTTAGGTGTCGAAAACAAATGCCGGTAGGATGACGTAGTCAC